TTTTAGATAAATGCTGATGGAGCAAAATGAGATGACCGTCTGTTTTCAGATGACAACTAAAAGTATTCCCATTTTACTCTTGAGCTGCATACATTTCAGTGGAATGTCTTTAAACTGATTTTTATGTGGGTCTGTAATTTGTTTTGTGGAGGAAAGTTTTTAGTATAGCTTAAGAACATTCCCCTTGAGAATTTAGGTCCTAAAGCAAATGAATTATTAATAAAGCCTTTGCTATCACCTTAACTTTAAAGGTAGAATCGCTTCTCGGCCTTTTGGCCAAGATCAAGTGTAAACTTCAAGGTAGAAATATACATTTTCTATCTACCTGTAAATCATCAGATTACAATGAAGTTCAAAATATTGGTGGCCATATACATTTTCATTGTTAGATGTGTTCATGTGCCTAAAAACACTTAAAAGTCAAATGGCTTAATCCAACTAGTTTTCCAAACTGCAGAATACTGGATTTATTCATCTTCTCATTCTTTTTAAAAAACAAAGTTTGATGAAAATTAGGGCTATGTCTCTTTCTTTAACAGTAATGCTTGCAGTAACCCAACTTAAGGGAAGTACCAACAGGTTTCTATGGAAGTCATATTTCTTTGGAACATGGCAACAAAGAATTACTTTTCAGATGCAGAGCAGATGGAATCTGTTAAACAATTAAGTGAATTTCCACTTCTATTCAGTTCAGTTGCTCAGTCATGTCCAACTCTTTGCAACCTCATGAATCACAGCATGCCAGGCCTCCCTGTCCATCACCAACTCCTGGAGTTTACACAAACCCATGTCCATTGAGTCGGTGATGCCATCCAACCATCTCATCCTGTTGTCCCCATCTACTCCTGCCCCCAATCCCTCCCAGCATCAGGGTCTTTTCCAATGAGTGAATTCTTCGCATGAGGTAGCCAAAGTACTGGAGTTTCAGCTTCAGCATCAGTCCCTCCACTTCTATTAACACCCCTCAAATATGTGACCTGCTTTATTGCTGATTTAAGTGAACTTTGAAACCAAGTGCTTGACCAATCTTGGTTTTATAATTAAGGGTTGTCAACAGTTAGACCACATCTCATTTGAAAGGCTTAGATGTGAAGATACAAATTAAGGGCTGCATCCCTCTTATAAACATTTTCCTTTTAAAGTTCCCCGCCGATCAATTACACCTCTAATTTACCTTCCATTTAGAAAATATTATTTTAATAAATAAAAGGGGAAACCGTAATTTAATTTATAAAGTTTTATTTTTGTATATGTGCTAAATCTTAGGAACTGTGGACAATCTTCAGTCTGTTGGCTTGTAAAAGGCTGAGAAGTATGTGATCTGGGTGGTGAGATTTCCTTTTAGGAATCTGGATTTCAAAATGCAAAAAAATTTTTTCACTCATTTTCAAGTTGAGAACATGGTGCACCTTTCCCCCCTTTTCTTAGACCTATAAATTCGGAGGAAAAGTTCTACATTTCTGTGGATGTAAAATAATCTAAAAATAATCATAAATACAATCGGCAAGGTAATACATTTAGCACTTCTGTAGTGATTTACCACACCCAAAACCTTATTTTCAAACACTAAACACTCACATAAGCGCAGGATCAATTTTAGTTGAGCCCCACTAGGAAACCAGTACTGAATGTTTTTTTTTAATCAGTAACACAAAAACTGGGGGGTAAGAGGAGCAGTGTTTACTTTCTCGGCAGTATGTAATACCTTCAAACTAGAAACCAAAATTGGGCACTTACGAAAAGGCAATTTTTTAAATCCAGTTATAATTCTAAATAAGGCAGGATATATCCACCAAAATTAACCACAAGATTCAGCAAAGTAAGAGTTCCAGCTGGAAAAATAAGAAAAAATGGAACTATTTTGGAGTAGTCATCTGAGTATTCACAGACTTGCTTTCATTTATAAATGTAATTCAAATAAAAAAGGTTCCTCATCTTTTTAACCCACTACTAGGGTTAAATACTTAAATTGTTATCATTCACTAATAAAAGTTAATCATGAAAAAAATATAAAACATTTTCATAATTCTAAATTTGTACACATAACAGCTGAAAGACAAGGCTGGGAAATTATCATTGAGAGAAAAATCAATGAAGACAAAAATCCCAAATATGAGGATGGTCTTATTTCTGCCTCGACAATGCTGAACGTGAAAATTTGGTTGATAGAGGGCTTACAAACAGCAGCAGTATGGTTTTTGCCAAGTTGTGCACTGAAATACTTAGATCCAATAGGGCAAAGCCCTTGTTCACACAGATTAACAATGCAAGTATCTTCAGTCTTTATGTTAACAGATTCTACTGTCTCCTATAAAGTAACCATGCCATTTAGAATTTTCGGGGGTACTTCTCTGAAAGGAAGACTAGTGATTCTGCAACAAACATTTAAAGTAGGAAATATATATATGGCTCAAGAAATCAGTTGAGCGAGAATTAAATAATCTGTAGGCACTTTGAAGACTTGAAGTTTAAAATGTGCCATTTGTTTTCAGAAAAAGACCTCAAAATCACCGCTATGTTGCTCTTACAATAACATGCATCTTAAAATTTTCAGTTATACATTAATGCTTGCGTAAGAGTTAGAGAAAATAATTTGCACAAAAGTAACTCTTTCCACTCACTTTCCCTAGATCCTGATCACAGCACAGACCACTCTTCCTCAAGTGGAGGGGGGAAAGGATTCACAAGCCCTCAAAGCAGCCAAGGTGGGATCTCCCTCCAAGGAGAAAAATTCACAGCCTTTTAAAATGTCAAGTTTTCACGTCTAGGAAGTCATTTGTTTTTAAATTAAGTATATTACATACTTTTGTTAAGGACCAGGACACACACAAATCACCTCAGATGGTTAGATGGCGTAATTTATGATAGCAACTTGTTCAAATAAATTTAACCTATTTTTACTCATTGTTAAATAAACTTGGAATTGAGGAACTTCTAAATTAAAGTTACCAATTGCAATTGCAGATAGTGTGTATGACTTTGGCTCACACTTAAACTCATATGTAATATACTTAAGGTAAAAACAGGCTCTATCTGGTGTCAAATTTTCCTAATGTCACAGAAAACCTAGAAGCACAGATTGACTACAGAGTACTGCCAAATAAGATATCCAAAGCTTTATCTTAAATACCTGCCCCCTTTAATCACAAAATAACAAATTCTCAATTTTGTTTCTGCTTTGTTCAATTCCAACTATAGCCTTTTTGACAAAACATTTGCCTATTAACTGAATTGTAAAAAATACAACCAAGCTTGTGCTCATTAAATATACATGTATATAAAAAACATACAAAAAGTACAAGATTGATTATGTTACGAAACTTTTACAGTGTCAACATCCTGTTTTTTCTTTTAAACCTTCAGTCAAGGGCCAAAGGTCAAATCTTCCTGTGCACAAAAACTCAATGGGACTGAACTCCTGAATTCAGGGTCATGTCTAGGTGTGCTACGCACAGAATTAACCTTCATATGCAGTCCTTAAAAAAAAAAAGACAAAAAAGTAACAACAACAAAAAACCCAAAAACACACCACAGGACGAAAAGTTCTTCTTAAATCAAATTCTATTTGTGAATTCAGCAAAATAATTTCTATAAAATAAAACAGCAAAATATTTAAATAGAATAGGGTGGACTGTATCTGTTTGCAGGGGTATTTGGTTTTTAGACAGGTTCCAAAAAATTACACACATTCAAGTTACCAATTCTCTTTTAAATACAGTATTAGCTGATGAATTTATCATCTTAAATGTTTATTCTGATATTGATACCTCAATTATATTAACCAGTTTTCTTTTTAATTAGACCCTGCTTCAAACATGAAAATTTTTGGAATAATGGAAAAGGAGCTAGGACAACTCTTGCTTTCAAGTAAAACTGTGACTGAGCAGCAGCTCAGCAAACATCTTGGTGCAGTGGTATTCCAAGTACTGTGGGTTTCTGATGACTTCTGCTTCCCTGGGATCCAGCAGAAGGCAAGTTTTAGAAGGTTCTCCTAGTAAGCTCTACAAAAGAAACAAAACAAGCACACCAAATACAGTCTTCTATTATGCTCCGAGCATCCTGGCATAGCAAATTTTTGCATATTTGTTTTAAATCTTTTAAAATTCCCATTACTGACACTTAAAGTTTCTTTATCCCACCCAGAGATTGAATTGTCAAACATTAAGATGTAAGCAACATATGTGTAACTGAAATCCACCTGTTTATCACACTTCTCCCCTTGTTTTTCTATTTTATATTCTAGGTGTAAGAAGGAAAAGCTCTGAGCAATACAGCTGTCACACTGGGACAACTGCTGTCATTATGGTAATTTTTTCCTCATTGGCTACACTAACCTGGTGTGAAGCCATGCTAAATGTTACAGCATAACTATAGCTTCAAAGTGATTAACCTAACATCAGAATAAAAAGGCAATGAAAAAGATCTAGAAACAATGTTACATCACCAATTTTCCACATCAACCAAATAATTTAAAGGTTACCAGCCTTACATTGCTCATAATAAAACTGACTCCAGTGGCAAAGAATTAACATGAAACTATTGGTGTGGCTGACATGGATGGGCTCTGGTTTGTTGCTGTTGGTTTATTTTATGTTTTTGTAAAGGAGTTGATCCAACTGCCGTCAGGCAGGCAACACTGGTTGCAGAGTGCAATGGGTATAACAAGAAAATTAACTTTTGTAGGTTTTGTAGATCTGTGAGTCTCATCAAGAAAAAAGTCTCGCTTAAGAATTAACAGTCAGACATTAATATACTATATACACCTTTGCCATTTACACATTAGCATCAGGCCATTTATTACAAAACACTATACACTTTCCACTGCAGGCGAGTTATATATTGACAGCAAATTTCTGCAGATAAGACAGTGAATAAACTTTCCACTCCATATTGATTAGGAATAGTTTTTTCTAGTTTTAAATATTAGCCAGACACAGAAAAAGGTTGGACTGTAAGGCCTGGGTGCACAGTCTTGATGGAACCAGTTAATCATGTGCATTTCACTGATCCTTCGTCTGAGGTGGGGACACTTCTTCACTGCCTTCATAATTTTCTTGTGCTCGTTGGCCAGTTCTCTGAGGGTTGTTCATGTGATGCGCCGCTGGGCCTGTATACGGCTGTCCATGCACATGGTTATTCTGGGAGGGGAGACAAAATCTGCATGTTAAAGCTTTTAATATATTGAACTTCAACTTTAAAGACCACAGGCTGAAGTTTGTGGAAATGTAAACATTTCCTTTTATTCCTGGGACTTAACGAGTAAATACGCTTAGGCTGATGACGAGAAACATTGGTTTGAAACAGAAAAGAAAGCCTCAAAGCCCCAAGTAAGAGCAGCGTAGGTGTGATTCTTTGGCCAAGGTGATTTTAAGTGTCCAAAATTATTCACATTCAAGTCTGACAAATAAGGGATAACACAGCCCATTATTGCTTGTGGTTAAAAAAAAAAAAAAATTCACAAAAGAGCCAGAACACATCCATTCTTACTCTAAGCACGTAACTTCTATATGAGAAATCTGACTAAATGATCATATGAAATCCACATAAGCAACAACCCTCAACACAGAATGATGTTAATGAAAACAAAACAACATTGAAGATAATGGATTAATCAGGCATGATTAAGCATGAGCTTTCTCAGGGCTGAGGGAAGTAACTCTTCTGCTGGATTTGGGTCCTTAATGTTTTAAACCCCTAAACTCTCATTTTTCTGTACATTCCCACCAGGCAAGCCAAGATTTTAGGCTTTCACTTTCTGTAATTTTTATTAGGAAAATAAATACCTTGAATATGCATTTTCTAATTATCCAGTATGCTTCTACCTCTACTATGAACTGTAAGAATGCTTAAATAATGGCTCTGAAAGCATGGTTCCTAGACCAGCAGCAGCATCAACTGGGAACTCATTAGAAAAGTAGACTTTTCTGCTCCCACCTCCTAGACCTATTAAATCAGAAACTCTGAGGTACCCGCCCCCCCCCCCCCCACAGCCCACCGGGGATTCCAATGCTTGTTCCAGAATCACTGCCACAAAAGATCAAAATTAGTCACACCTGGGACTTAGACACATTCTCATTTAGAAAGTTTCATCTAAATTTAGTTACTGATCTTCTAAAAAAATTCAGGGAAATCTGTCAAATCCCTGACTTTTTTCCAATAATTTTTTACTGTCATTGAAGTCTTGGTTATGCTATGTAAGCAAACAGTTCTTCCTTCATTGCCATATCCAGGGTCTTCCTTCACTGCCATGTTTCATGTCTCTACTCGCAGACTTGGCCTACCAGGAAATGTCATCTTAATCCATTATACTAAATATTATCATTTTATATTGATACAATTAATCATAGTTTTTACTGACTTCATCTACTAAGTACAAGAGGGGTGCATATATTTGACCAGGAACACCACAGGGGCAGCTCAAACATGTCACACGGTGATCCCATGCCAACCATTCCTCTTTTGATCATGTCCCCAAAGCTGGTCTAGATTATCCCCCTATTACTTTACATTGGCAGCAAAAAACTTAGCCATCCTATAAATAATGCGTACAAATTCTAGGGGATAAAAACCCAAACTAAGCCTGATATACCTGCTGATACTGAGATCCGGGTGAGTGGGGGTATAACGGGGCATCTTCAGGTGGAGGTGACTCATGCTCATCCGGGGCATCTTGGTCATCTGGCTCCTGATTTTAAATATTTAAAGATAAAGAATTATGTACGCAAATTCAATTTTTTGAGGTGTTTGAGATAGAATCTTTAAAAAACCGACCCACTAACAAATTTTATTATAGAGAAGATAACTGAAAGAAACCTGATTTGGGTTCTCTCAGAAATACTAGATTCAGGCAATCTCCCCCAAATTACTTTAAAAGAAGACTCCCTCATTAAGTTAAGACCACATATAGAACACATATTAAAGCAAACAAATCTCCACATAGCCCCCCTCCCCATTATCATTAATATATAAACACTGGCCTATAAAGTAAAGAATTACTTTGCTTTCTTCCATTTCTATCTGCTGCACACTGGTGGCTTTTTTTACCTCCTCTGGACAGAGTTCACAAGCTTTTGCAAGTGTCATCCTAGCACTATGTGATCTCTCCAAGAAATAACCATTTGATGTTTCATTGCTTTGCACTGGAGGAGACCAATTGTTGTAAGTGTATTGAGGATTGCCAGTGTATGGTCGTCTTTCAAGTTCATCTCCAAGCCATTCCACTGCCCAGGTCCACTTCCTTTTAAGATCTCCATTGCCCTTCAAAAGAAAAGAAAGCTATGCATGTAAAAAGGTTTTGCAATGTTTTTCAAAGTTAACTTGAAACGACAACTCCAAATTCTCATAATTCTCTTCTTTTAAAACAGAATCCTTAAATCAGACTCAGGTTTCTACAAAATTATACACACACACACAGACGGAGGTTTCTACAAAATTATATACACAGACACAGAGAAAAAACCCTCACCTGTAGAATCTGGTAAGCAACAGGACAATTGCTGAAGAGAGCTACCATACATTTTATACACTGGTATGCTCTTTTTTGATAGTGATTCTTAGAGCGCTGGATTGTGTCAAACAGCCCATCTCGGTCGTCTGGGATTCCTTTGAGTGCATTGTGAATTCTGAAAGGAAACGACATAAATTAAAACTTCTAAAATCAAATAGCAGCTAACATTTACTAAGTGCCTACTATGGGCCATTCAATAAAGGTCTTTAATGTAGTCATGTGATCTAATACTTGAACACATAAGAAAAAAGAGGTTAAAAGGCTTGCACCGAAGGTCATATGGCTGCCTAGAACCAACTTATTTCTGATCCAAAATGACAAATACTGTATGATTCCACTTACATGAGGTATTCAAAATAGGCAAAAGTCAGAGAAAGCAAGAATAATGGGCACAGAGTTTCAGTTTGGGATGATGAAAAAGTTCTGGGGATGGATAGCAGTGATGGTAACAACACTGTACACTTAAAAATGGTTAAAACAGCAAATCTTGTTATGAATACTTCCAATTTTTCAAAAGATATTTTAAAAATTACCTGCCTGCAATTCTACTCTAAACTATATAAAAAGAGAATTGAAAACAGGTGGTTTTTTGAAAATACAAAATGTGTACAGGAATGTTCACAACAGTATTCTTCACAACAGCCAAAAGGTGGAAACAATTCAAATATCCACTAACAAATGAACAAATAGATAAAATGTAATGTGTATCCATACAACAGAATATTATTCGGTCATGAAGAGGGATGAATTACAGATATGTACTCTAACATGGATGCATTTGAAAACTATGCTAAGTGAAGGAAGCCAGATACAAAAGAACATATTGTATGATTCTGATCATATGAGATGAATGGAACAGCCAAGTCCTGGGTATTTTGCCCATGGATAGACAAACCTATAGACAGAAAGCAGACAAGTGGGTGTCAGGGGCTGGGGGATAGGAGGACGAGGAAGTGACTGCTTAATTGGGTTTGGATTTTCCTTCCAGAGTGATGAAAATGAACGGAATTAAGACAGTGGTAATGGTTGCACAACACTAAATATACTACAAGTCACTGAACTGCATATTTCAAAATGGTTAAAACAGTAAATTAAAAAAAAGAAAGTGAATTTTATCTCAATAAAGAAACATTACCTGTATAGTCAGTAATTTTAAAAAACCTTTTATACACTGTATATTTTACTTAATAGAATATTTCAAATCAAAAGGCAAGTTTTGTTTTTTCTGTATTACATGCATTCATAAAATTCATTTTGTTTGGAAGTAACTCTAATTCTGCAAAGTTAAACCATCTCAGGCCACACAATCAACCACGTACAGGCTTCCTACTATTTAATCTGAAACACTGCAGTGTATTTTCTGTTTTTACCTTCAATTTTTTAAAGTGATAATGAATCAACTGCTTCACAAATGCCATTTTTATCAATATTATCTTTTGCCTTCCTTGTTCTTCAATGCCTAACAGTGCCAAGCCCATGGGAGATGCTCCATAAATACACAGTTTACTGAATGACTAATAGCCCACTATGAGAAAATTATTTTCAAGCTTGATGCCAGGGAATCATAACAACAATCTTACTATACAAAACAAACTCTCATGTTTAAACCAGCACATGTGCTTTTAGTGTTATTACTTATTCTAATTAGGGCTGAGATATGGCTAACTGGTTTAAAGCTATACATATTAACAATATTTTCAAAAGAAAATAGTGAAAACTTAAGATTCCATTTCAACTGACTCATAAGTTTTAAATCCTCTGATCATATTGAGAAGGGTACTGGTAGTGTTCAAAATAAACAGCTATAGTTTTGGAACTATTAAATTTAGTTTTTAATGGAAACGGATTTCTGGTTTAATCCAATTTTTGTAATATTAACTGTTTGAAAACTATGACTGTTAATTTTCGTGAATAATTTGAAAATATTATTTCATGATATCTGACATTTGCAATCCACACTAAGACTCAAGACTTTTTAGTTTTTGTTGTTACAGAATTTGTTTTCAGGTTTCTGTTTTAGTTATAGTGACAAAGAGGAAGCAGTCTACTATACAAATTCTTAATGGTTTCCCAACAAATTCTTCAATATATATTAAATAAGATTTCTTTAAACAGAACACAATTTTAAAAAGGTTATGTATTGATTGGTTGAAAAATAATGTGCCCAGAGGCTTGAATGAACCTAACTCTGTGTATCTCCCGGGAGCAATGCCCTAGTACTTGCTCAGTGTTCACACTGACTTTCAGATCTAAATTAACTACTATGAATATTGGGAACCGCCTATACTTATTTACCGAAGGGACTCTCACGTAATTCTAAAACTAACGTAATCCAATCCTAAAATAACTCTAGAGCATCACTGATCAAATGGAAACATTCACCAAAAAATTCCTCCAAATAAAAAACATAACGCCAATTGAAAGAAGGTGGTTAGTATATTAAGTAGGCAACTTGGGCAATGAGAGGAAAAAACAAAAAAGTTGAGAGGGAAGGGGGAACCTTTTTATTCATCCTTAAGTTTTACAATAAAACATTTATTAGACTTCCAAGAGGTTAAAAAGAATAAATGTGCTGTTAATTTCACTTACTCTAAGAACTGGGCAAGAAACAAAAAAAGGGTAGCTACCTGTGAGTCTGCCAGGAGTCCTCAATCAGCAAGATCTGCAGAAGCAGATCCAAGTAGGGCCGGAGTTCGTAAGTATAGGAATATGCCACCTAAAAACAGGTAAAACATGGTGAAGACCTTATTTAAAGCAGCAATAGTGGTGATCACTTTGTAATGTGTAATGTATAAAAACATCAAATCACTATGTGGCACACCTAAAACTAGTATAACTGTAAAGTCAATTATACTTAAAAATGTAATAAAAATAAAATAACAAGTTATAGAGACATATGAATGTATATTTTCCTTTAACCTGCCAGAGAAGTTCACTGAGGACAGTAGATGAGAACTGAGGATTCTCCCAGCAGCAAAAACGAAGCAATTTGACGGTTTCCTCTGAGTTGCTGCAGTCCTCAATGATTTTCTTCACATAACTTGTCCTCACAAATAAAATGTCTGCCACGTTCTGCTGAATTGGCATTATAGGTTGTGATAAATTAGGATCACCAAAAGGATTGGGAAGAGGAGGGTTACCTAGAATACAGATTTGTCATCAATGAAAAACTAATCGGCTTCTCCACAAGAATATCCAGCTTTCACTACAGAAAATAGCTTCATCATTGTTTTAAAAGAAAATAATAATATAGACTGTTTCCTAAGTACAAAGAAAGTAATATGAAGCATTATAATGATCAGATATAACAAGATGGTAAAACATAAAAGTTAGACACCAATACTGGCGTTTTCTTATTTAAAAGTTAGTTCTTAAACTACTTCATAAACAAGACACCAACCTCAGTAGCAAGCAGATAGAAAGATTCTCTTTTAAGCATGTGAAAAACATGCAGGACTCAAAATATTGTAAGATATTCCAAAGCATGGACTTTCACAGATTCTTGTTTTATACTGAAACTTCTTCAGAATCACTTTTAATGAGGTACTATTTATGGCCAGCAGTACTTTAAAACCAATGTAAAGAATGGAGTATTTGACTTTACCATTGATTGAAGACTGCATTCTTGACGAGACATTGCAACAGCGGATTAGCTGTGACACGACTGAGTATAATTTGCCTAATTCAGCATACTGATACTTGATTGGAGGACCTGGACCTTCGTCTAAAGACACAAGCATAAAGGTAGCAGGTACACTCAATTTCAGAAGCTGTGTCTTCTCTGCTACACCTACAGTACAGAAGGGAGAAGCAGGAAGAGAGGGGAAGAATTATATGAAAGAACTGGGACGGAAGGGCTTCATAATAAAGTAGTTTTTTTTTCTACAACCTTTATGATCAGAAGATTACTTTTACTTGGCAGAGTATTATTAAATCATACTTAATACAAAAATAATTATTAAAAAATTAAAAGAACCAAAAATCTAATTGGAGTTAAGTATTAAAAGGACACTTCAATCCTCTGGACACTTTCTATGGCCAGGGGAGTCTCAGGGACCAGCCTAGATGGCAATCCTTAACATTAGGTGAACGCTGAAAATGGAGAAATCAGAATTCTTTTATAAATTGCCTTTCTTCTTACCTCTAAGCCAAGCTTCTTGAAAGACGCCTAACCTCGTTCCCTCTACTTTCTCGTTTTCCCGCTCTTCAATCCATGCTTATCTGGCTTCTGCCCCTCTTTCTGGTTTAAAGTTAAGGAATAGTTCTCAAATTGTAACCATTTCACCCTTTCTTGGGTTCCTCTCTTATTTTCTTTCTACCTCTTCTTGGTCTTATTCGTGAGTCCTCCTTCTGTCTCTTAAAAAGTGATGGCCCTCCAAGTTCCCACGTCAGGCTATCTCCTCACACTGTATGCCTTCCCTGGATGATCAAACCCATTCTAATGGCTTCAAGTTCCAGCTATTTTCATTCAGCTGATTCAAAAATATTTCCAAAGAGATCCTGTTCTACTGGACACCTCTATTTGGGTGTCACCAAGACTCAAATTCCCTGTCTGTGTTCTTCCTGTGTCTCCCCTGCTCAGTACATGGCACTACTACCTGCTCAGCTTATCAAGCTGGAATTCTGGGCATCATTCTTAACATTCCACGTTACCCTTCCCTGAACATACAATCACCAAATCCTACTGGCCTTGCATCTAATGAAAAGCACCAGAATTTGTCTACTTGTATCCCCCTCCCTGTCAATTTCTCAGTATAAGCCACATTTCCGTCGACAGGTGGTCTAGGATTAAAAAATCCTCTAGCCTTACTCTCCCTGTAATCCATTTCACACTGCAGCCAGGATGATCTTTCTAGAAGCCAGACATCTATTCAAAATTCTATAATGGATCATCAATGCCCTCAGGATAAAGTCCAGAATCTCTCAAGACTTGACAGAATAGCACAATTAGAGAATTCTGCTCACCGCTCCTGCCATCCCCATATTACATCAATTCTAGTCAGACTGAATAACCTTTCACTTCCTCCAATGAGCCATGCTGAATTTACTTCCAAGTCTCTGCACCTGCTGTTCACTCTGGATGGAAAAATTCAACCAATTCCTACAATCAATTTCTCCATTAAGTTCCACCCCCCCCCCAAATCTGGTCAGGTACCCCTATTGATGTACTTCCACAGCACTCTGTATTTTCCCCATTATTGTCACAAACATATTTTATGGCAAGTACCCTTTAATTTGCTTCTATACCCCATTAGAAAGTAACAGTCTTATTTATTGCCGTGTTCCAAGAAGTGTAATAAATACAAGTCCACAATCCCTTATTTGAAATCCCTAGATTCAAACAGCTCTTTTTATCAATATAAACAAGTTCACTCATAAAGTTGGTTTGAAAATCTGGCCTAAACTGACAAAAACTATTACAGTCTTCCATCCAGCCCCTCTCAATGTGAATATTCATGTGTATGATTACAAAGTGCTGTTCTGGACACTGCTCCAGGGATGTTACACAATTCATGGTATATGCACTATTTTACCTTTCTTAAACCCGAACAGTTCTGAACCCCAAAGCCTATTGGTCCTAAGGATTCTGCATTAAACTTTATAGACCTGTATTTGGTTTCAGCAGCGAAACTTTAGATTACATTATGGACAAATGATGAATGCTTTTTTAGACAGGGAGTACCTAAAAAAGGGAGTTGAACAGAGTAGAATTTTTATAAATACCTATGATTTAGCACATCTAAGTGTAAAGTACAGATTCCCCCTATGTTTGTTTGTATAATAAATATTCTTTTCAACTGCAAATATGCAAGTATTTCTAGTATGGGGAGGTAAGGGAAAAGAAGACAAATACAAAGTAGAATGTTGCTGTGTTAAAAGGGTCATGGATCAATGGTGATTAGTAAGTGACACACAAACCCTGGAATGACAGTAATGTTTGGATTTAGAATTTAACAGAAATAACAGGTAATTTAAGTGAATATTTATATTATCCCCAACTTTTAATTTCATTTACTTCAAACCAAAACTTAAGTATAGACTAAATCCTTTACCCAAACTTGGTGAATATTACACAATCATCTGGTGCCTTTTGAAAATGTGGATTCCTCGTGTTAGTTCTGAGAATTCTTATTCAGTTGGTTTGGGATGGGGCCTAGGAATCAGTATTTTCAAAAAACCAGGTCTAGCACCACTGCTTTAGGGAGATAAAAATATGACTAAGATACAGATTCTGACCTGTGTCTGAGCAGAGATAAGACACATGCATAAATAAAAGTACAAGGTTAAAAGTGTAGCAAAAAGTTTCAGATAAAATTCATATTAGGTTTTATGAAACACTTTCTATTTTAGACCAGGTTATATTTCATTACTTGACTTAAATGATTTCATTACTTAACACATTAAAACAAAATTACGAAAACTTAAAATTCTTACCTAAATTGGCATACATTACAAACAGGTTGAAATACTGCTGTAAATGACGCCCATGCTCTGAAACTTCTCTTCTCAGCAAATTTAATACTGCTCTTAGTAAGTGATCACTCAGGCTTAAGTTGTCATAAGCCTGTAAAAGATGAAAACATTGGTTGTTTCCTAGCAACAAGATGCAGGTATGATATAATTTCCTTCACATAAAAAAGGAAGATGTACATATACATGTTAAATATAGGCAGAAATTTCTGGAAGGGCTGATCACACAAGAACGATTAAAAAGGGTTGCTTTTTTAGGAAAGGGGATGAACTAAAATTCATCTATAACATATAGCAGTAAGTGTATAACTAAGCCACTGAATGTAACCAAATTAACAGAAAATTCCATTAAGTTTTAAAGACGCAATAGTCACTATTCATTGCTGGGAAGTACTTTTTAATGGAACTCATAGACACTGAGGCATCAGATCACATGGTTATTACATGCTCATGCACATTTGTTAGGTAAACGTCTCAAATAGATGCACATGTGTGTGGCTTCAGCTTCCAGGAAACAGAATTCATGTGTAAGCATTTAATCATTAGAAGTAAACTGGGCAATTACCTGACTAGAAGGTCCTGGAGAGGCAAAAGGTGAAGGACATGGCCCATCTTGCAAGGAAAAATGTGCAATAAAAACGATCAGTTTTGCAAATGCACCTCTCACTTCTGCACTAGGGCACTCCAGAAGGTATTCAGAGAAGCGATTTGAAACATTAAAAAGGACATTATGAGCAAACCAAAAACGTACGTTCTTGCTGTGACGAAGCAGAATACATAATGCATCATACCTAAGACAAAACAAACAAAATACGAGGTTCAATGACAAAAACGATAACCCCCATTAACATCTTACTACTAGAATAGTTAAGTAAATACTGTTAAATCAAGGTATGATATAAATGGTCTCTAAACTTCCACAATTAGAAACAAATTCACTTTAAGTTTTTACCTTTTTAATCTACGGCTGAATGTAATCTAGGGAAGCTAAAATGTGATAATTTTGTGATTAGATAATCTTTAAGTATCATCCTGTAATGTTTTGTACACAGAAGTCAAAGATATGATATACACTATAACAGAAGCCGGCTCTTGATTAATAAAGGGCCACATTTAATCTCAGGAATTACTTAAATATGATTTCTTTCACTACTGCTACCAAGATTTTTTTAAATTCTGCATTCCAAATCTGAAACAAGATTATTAGAGCTTGGAAAAAATAAAGCAGTATATTAAAGAACTAAACTAAATGCCAGTAATAATAGGAATGAAAATCCAAAACAATGTACCAATCACTGGCGGAGCCACGGACTATTTTCTTGGTATGAAATCCTGTGGTAAAGAGGAACCTAGCGGCAAGCTGAATACTAATCATTGTGATTTCTTCTGCTTCAGGCAACAGGTGATCTTGCCCTATAAAAAAAGTGCAGATTAAAAAATAGTCAAATTTGTATGCCCAAGCCCCATTTTCATACAAATCTGCATTACCTACAATTTTCCAAGCCCCAACTATGTTAAAACCCCTCTGAGGCTACTTATGAAATAATTCTGTTCATTAAAGCACACTTCAATTAGTGCTTGAGTAAATAAAAACAAATTGTTATAACAAACAAAAGCTCCTCTGTCTCTAAATACCCAGACAATATATAATCCTCAAAGGTAACAGTCATCTGAAACAGGACTTGAAAACAATCAGAAAGAAAACAAACATATTGACGCTTGCTAAGAAATCCTGCAAGAGGAGGAATGCTTTGTTACTAAGAAGATAAATTCTTGATACTTACCTGGAGGAGGATTTAAGTAAACACCATTACATGTAAGCAGTTTTTTCATAAACTGAAAATATTCCAAACTGTATTGCATTCGGTTATGCATGAATTGCACGTTCTGTTTCCGTACACTTCTCTCAATGGCTGATGGCATAATAATCTGATGGGGTCTTGTGGTGATAGCAAGCTCTGATATATATCTTATCAACTCATCGCCCTGGTCTATTGTGTCCAATCGTTCATAAAAAAGTATATAAGCATTCCACCACCTTTTCTGGCGCCTGTATGACATGCGCTTCATCATGTGATCGAATACTTCTCCCATGTACTCTCCACCAAAACACTGGTTTTTCATTTCTTCATCGTCATCCATTTTACATTCAGTTACATCTCCATCATCAAATTTATACCAACGGTTTCTCTCACCATCTCCTCCATTCCTTTGAATGATATAAGAATAGTAATGTCCTCCGCTTGCTTGACCGCTGTGTACAAGCACCCCCACAAGTCTGTATTTCGTGCTTCCTGCTGTCTCACTGTCAGACTGCTCATTCTGTTGTATCAACTGACTCTCTGGGTTTACATTATCTCCTTCCAGCTTTGCAACACCTGCAACTGTGTAAGGTTCCATGTCCAGCTCACGAGGAAATTCAAAATAATCATTAAACTTGATTGCACATTCTCTTTCCCAATCATAGTCGAATCGTTTTAGTTGGATAGCAAGAACAGGAGGCAATTTTTTAATAAGCAAGCGCTTTACAGTATCAACCTAAAATGAACAGAGGAAATTACTAGATGTTCTCTTATAATCCACTACAAAAAAAAAAAAACACCAAACTTTAAAACTCTATTGTTAAATTTTCAACATTTGAAAATTTAAGTGTAAACATAACGTGATAGTGAACATAATCAGAGCAGTTCTGTCAGTTTATAGTTTTAATGTTAACTAAAACAAGTAATATAGAAGTACCCTGATGCCACTTGCTACAAACTGCAAAAATTAGTGATTTACTCACTGCCTGATTTCAATATTGGCAGTATTATCTAACCATTATTCTCTGCTTGATATTTATTGTTATTTTAATGAAGGTGTGGTTTCCTGTAAGCCAACTACAGAAATATAATAACAGCAGCTAATATATATTGGGCAGTTAGGTATCAAATTATATGCTAAGTGCTGCCCCCAGTAGTAACATGTATAATCCTCACAACCCTCTCAAGCAGGTGCTACTGAACCTTAAGCATGAGAATGAGGAGCAGTTGAGAGATTTAAGTAACCTGCCTCAAGTCTTAGAGCTGTGAGTGGCAGGGGTATGACTTTACAGATCATCTCAACCTCTAGATTTTAAAACCTCTCCAAGTGGTATGTAAAGTCAAAATAATACAGGTGACTTAGAGGTGAGAGGGCTTGGGAGCCCAGAAAGTTACTATTAAATGCTCACAGACAAAAACCAATACCAGGTGAGTAAAAAAAAAATTTGATCCAAGTGGTTTAAAAAATACAGGTGGTAGAAGAAATCTTATGTGGCTAAATAAAGCAATTAAAATAGTTTGGTTTCAGCGAACTTCTTCGTCTTGGCTAGTAACTCTGGATGTGAGAGGAGCAATGTTTTCCTCTATGAGCTCTGTAGCTTTGTGGAGCTCAAGCAGTCTGGTCAGATATGGATGAAAGGTGCCTGTGTAAGTCAGACAAGAGATTGTGGTATTAATAAGCTATTGTGACCTCTAAAGTGATTCACTCTTATCTTTACCTGTTTCCCCTAGCCCTTTCTGGCACTAATTTCTCTCGATAGTCTTTACCTGACAAACCTTTTAAGTCCGTTATCTTAACTACCTCTCTGCTACCACCGTGAACAAAGCAGGGCAGGGAATAAAGAGGGCAAATTTTGAGAACAAATGAAAACAATCATTCTTCCAAACCCATTATATGTAACCATCATTATTTTAAACAAAACTGGGCAATCCATACCTTTTTGTTGCATTTTTCACAATGATAAGCATTTGCACCTTCTAATAAATCTCCTTTGACATATTGTTCCAAAGAATCAAGAAGATTTTGGTGATTTCTAATGTCTACATTCAAAGTCGTAAAAGATTCTTCACACTCGTATCTAAAGATATTATTTAAGAAATGATCAAAGAGAATTTATTCCTTAATTTTCTAAACATCTTACTTAGTTATGGGCTCAATGTAAACTACTTTTGCAATATTTATAATAGAACACAAAACCCAGTAAGTCAAAAAATGTACTAATAAATGACAGTTACCATTTATGGGCCATTTATCCTCTGCTGGGCACTACATTAGATTGTTTACACACTATATACATAACAGGTTCTTTGTCTTCACAACAAATATTCTCTATCACCATCTCCACATCAGAGATGAGGGAAATGGGGTTCAGAATGTGATTTGGCCAAGATTACCAGAAGAAATGGTGTTTTGAAGCTAGATCTGTCTGGCTTCACAGCTCCGTCTCTATATAATCTACAATGCTCCTTCCGCCATCATCTGTTTAGATTATAATGAGCTAAATTTCTAAATGTTTCTCCTCTTCTATAATGGAAACATTACTAAAGCACAAGTTGAACATACAAATGAACATGTGCTAAGCAATCTGACTAGGAGCCAGAATCCCACCTTTTGGCAATATTCTACCAAAGGAATTCTCAGATTTGTGATGAGACATATTCATAAATTTAGAACATGGGATGTGAGAATTTCACTCTCAACCATTAAATTAATTCACTGAACAAATATATGCCGTGCCTACCATGTATAAAGCACTGTGGGATAGTCAGTGCTTAAGATGGTCCCTCATATTAAGGGCTTTTCAATTTAGTTAGTGAAAAAGGCATTTATAAGTGACATGAATGGAATATGAAGTATTAAGCAAACTGTTATGATAACTAGGCAACAGCCCATAGATGAGGAAAAAGAAGTTCGATTTTATGATTTCAGGTAAAAAATTGGTCATTCGAAAATGAGAAGTCAGCAAAGTTTTTCTGTATGTAAAAGGCCAGAGAGTAAATATTACCTGCTTTTTCGGGCCATGAGGTCCCTATAGCAACTACTCAAGTCTGTTGTTACAGTAAGAGCAGTCAGACAGCTGGTAAAGGAGCAGGTATGCGCCAATAAAACTCTACAAAAACAGATGTGGGGCTGGACTTGAACTATGGTCCATAGCTTGTTAACGGTTATTCTAGATAAATACCCTAAAACAGACTGTCACAGGACTCTCATTTATGTAACCTTCTAGCATGGAACAGGACTAGTTTAGTTGTGGAGTAGGTATTTGAACTTCAGGAATTTTACTTAAGAGTAGAGAACAGCATCAAAACATGTATATTATCTAGGGTGAAACAGATCACCAGCCCAGGCTGGATGCATGAGACAAGTGCTCGGGCCTGGTGCACTGGGAAGACCCAGAAGGATCGGGTGGAGAGGGAGGTGGGAGGGGGGATCGGGATGGGGACTACATGTAAATCCATGGCTAATTCATGTCAATATATGACAAAAACCACTACAATACTGTAATTAGTCTCCAACTAATAAAAATAAATGGAAAAAAAAAAGTATATGTTCTCTGGACATTTTCACTTAGCAAAGAAAACCAGTAATTTCCCAATAATTTTGAAAACTGTCTATAAGAAACCAAGACAAACTGACCAAAACAGATAGCCAGAAAATTTTTTTATAAATCAGTATAAAAACAAGAGGTTAAAACGACAATTTTATGGTCCACCTAATAATGCACAAGGTCTTTCAAAAGAAGCAAAAGTTGCCCAGTTTGTGTAAACAATTTTATGGCCTCATTCAGAATGAACAGCTTAACATTTATATATAATATTACCACTCCCTCAATCATTTCCAAAATGAAATCATTCTAAAATGGTTCAAAAATGAAGCACCCCCACTAACCATATCCACACACAACCTATGACTATACATAATGCTCTTTTGTTGCTGTTGTTCAGTTGCTAAGTTGTGTCCTTGTAGAAAATACTACCTCTTACTGTGATATTTTGGTGAGAAGGGACTTCACTAACATTAATTAATTGATGACATACAAGAGAAGTTCCGAAGTAAAACTTCCATAAAGTAGTCGTAAACGTGTATCTATCAGTAAAAAACTTTAAGTTATTTTAACTATTTTCAATAAGTTCTTAATCAACTTCCCTTTTAAGAAAAAATCCAAGCAAATTTGTTTATAGTCATTTTTCGCTATAAATGCTTTGTGTGGGAAACATACCTTAGAGACAATGACAATGAATCAATGCTATTTTCAAAAAGTCAGTATTTCCTTTGTATAGGAAATAGTGCCCCACACTTGTCATCTTCTAAACTTAACATATTTACAATATAAAAATTAACTATTTTAAGATAAAGGAAAAATTCATTAGTAATACCCATATATGCAAAATGCCATGTATTTTCTTAGGCATGATCATACATAAGGACATACAAGAGTATAAAATAGTAAGAGCTCAGGTGGAGTTAAAGGAACCAAGTAGTATTTGACAAAAACAAACAGATCCACAAAGGTCATGTAACTTTTCTCTTCTGTTAAACTTCATTGTAATAAAATGAGAAAACAAACACCCCCCCCAATAGTAAGGTATGCACAATATATTATTCATCCCATCTCAGGTATTTAGTAATCGGTAGCATATTTCACTTGCTTACATAATTAATAATAAACAGTACAACATACATATAAAGTATGCAATTAGTACTCACCTATGTGGGCAGCCTTGGCAAATCTTCTGATCGGCAAAGGAACCTCCTAAGACTTTACTTAGCATAGCTGGATGTCCTAAGGCTTTCAAAGCTTCATCTAAACTATCCACCAATGAATTAAAAAATTCTAAAGCATCATGTTGTTCACGAAGATTAACAGGCTCACCCCAAAGCCTAAGAAATGAATGGAGTAAAATATGTAATGTGCGACACTCCCAGAACAATAAATACCATATATTTTTCAGGAAAAAAGCAATACAACCAAAATAACACATATAAACTGAGATTTTATTCCTCAATTACATGAGGAAGTAGAAAAAAAGGAATGCTCTTTATGTATTGATTGCTGTGGAAAAGAAAGTAAGATTTACAGTAAAAGTGGTACTTTAATAGGAAAGAAATACCACAAAACTACAAAGAAAAACTACATAGGTGATGTTACTATATGCTTCTCATTACACTGTATTCAGCGGTATTTCTTCTTGCCAAAAAAGTTTAACCTGAATCTAATCATGGGGAAATAATCATACAAATCAATAAAGTACCATAAAGGTCATGACAAATTAGGGAGATTAATTTAGAGATGACTGAAGAGCTAACAACCAAATTCCTGTGATTCCTTCTAGGATACCAGTCTGAAACTGGGGGAAAAAAATTACAAAGACTATTTTGGGGAAATTGGAATATATATTGATGAATTAGACATTACTGAATACTAAATTTCATGCATGTGATAACTGTATTAAATATTATGTAGAAAAATGTCCTTATTCTTAGAGGATACATTTTGAGGCATATGAGGGGATCAAGACTAATATTTGCAACTATCAACTAATTTAGAAAAAACAAACAAAACCCAAAACTCAAGTATACCCATAAGCAAATATGGCAAAATGTTAAAAACTGGTAAATCTGAGTGAAGAATATGCATCATAAAGGCGATTCTTATACTACTTTACCTTTTCTGCTGGTGTGAAATTTTTCAACATAAAAAATTAGGGGTGCAAAATGTGGTTAACTCACCCACATGTACCTGGAGTACATCACAGGTCTAAAGTGTAGATAATCCAAAAGTGCTAGTCTAGACAAATTGAGAGCTCCACTAACATAGGGAACAATTAACTGAGAAGCCAAAAAAAAGCAAATATATTACAAGAAGAGTGATAATTATAACTGAATAACAAATTTTAAGACAAAAGTTCAAAAAGTGTAAGAGTAATAATCTGGAAGAGAAAGAACAGAAATGGTAAAAGCCTTATGGCAGAGATGGGACAAGCTAGGGAAAGAAAGAAAACTTGAATAGTCAGAGAGGAAGGTGAGGGTTCTGCCAAGTGATGGGTCTGAAAGAGCGAAAGCAGAGCTGGGAAAGGGGTGTGTGTGTGTGTGTGTGTGTGTGTGTAAGCCGGTAAGTGTGGATTAAATAGAGGGCCTAGTTAGAGAAATCGGTGGAATTTATATGGTGAGTCATAGGGAGGTCACTGTATTATAAACTAGTGGTTTCAAAAGAAATCTTAGTAGTATCCTGGTAGGGAAAAGGGCAGCAGCTATGACTGAAGCAGAGAAGGTGGACCAGAGCAGCAGTATCAGGTGACCCTTGGCTCCCCTGCTCTGAGCTGTCTGGGAGATACCCTGAAGGGATTCTAAGGAGTATTATTTAAGGGAATTCCCTGCTGGTCCAGTGGTTAGGACTTCACATTTTCAATGCCAAGGGTCTGGGTTCAATACCTGGTTGGGGAACTAAGATCCTACAAGCTGTCTGGTACAGCAAAAAAAAAAAAAAAAAAAAAGGCAAGAAAGGAGTACTATTTAAAAACAAAACACTACTATGAAGGATTATGGTGTTTTCATACATAGTACAGATACGTAGTTGTATAATACTACAGTATTTTAGAACAGCGCATGACACAAGAGGTAATAAAAAAAGATAAAAGGTAAAATAAATGAAGCCAGAGAAATATGATCAAGACATAACTGAAGATTTTTTTAAATTAAAAAACAACAACAAATCCTGACCCCCCCTCCCCAGGTATTTATCACACCTTTCCTATAAAATTGTACAAAAGACTAGCCAAAAAGTTGCTATGGGGATGTTTCCTTTACAGATCTACTCTGGCTATTAAATGAAAGAATGATAAAACTAGGATGTGACCACTTTGTAGTCCTGATGAAATGTTGCACTTAGGCAATGATAATCAATGGGTGTTATCCTAAGAGGCAGAGAGACATTATGTACTTCTCCTCACTGAGCTTATTGTTATCACCTATGAGGTAGGCCTTGTCTAGCCACTCCAAAACAAGAAAAAAATAATAGTGGAACCTGATCGAGCCTCTCTCTCTCTATTTATATGACATGTAGGGAACTGAGGAAAACACAGCACCACAGGGATCTCAATAAAATCCAAATGGGAAAATGTATGGAGTTAACTACTTATTTGTTTTTTATCCCCAACAAATAACTACAAGGGTGAAAAAAGAGACTACAGAGACATATCAACACCTGTAGCACATGGACTTCATTTGGGTCATGATTTCAAAAAACTTAATAGTAAAAAAAAAAATTATGAGGTCATTGGATAAAATCAAACATTGACAAGGATATTAAGGAATTTTTTAAAGACAAGACAATAGTATCATGGTCATGTTAAAAAAGACATTAGAGATACACACTGAAATATTTATGGGTGAAATTATGCATCTGCTTCAAAACAACCTAAAAACAATCAGATGGGAATGTAGATTAAATAGCAATGAGTTGACAATTATTGAAGTTGAGTGATGACTACATAAGGGTTCGTACTCTTCTCCCTACATATGTAAATATTATAAGCTTTCAAAATAAAAAATTATTAACATCTTATGAGACTAAAGAATGCTGCCTCTTACTAAGACATTTTCTACCTCCTTTGGGGACAATGAGAAAACAAACCTAACTATGGAAATAAACTTTGACTATTACTACTGCTTAAATATTAAACATAAAAGTGCTTTCTAATATAGGTTTTAGAAGTTTAATGTTAGTGTCATGAGACGGTCATAAAGGTTTAAGAAATATCCCAATTACCAGTCATCCATAATTTACCTGAACTGTTTCCAAAATCCTCTGGGCACATAGTACTGTAGTCGAGAAGCAGCTAAATGACCAAAGATGACCTGAAGGTGTCTCAAAACACCAATATTGTACTCTTTTCTGTCTTCTGTTTTACTTAATGCTGGTTTGTCTTCAAATTGTTGAGGGTATCCAAATACATCATCTCTGGGATCAACATTGCTCTGGAAAGCAAAACGTATCACTAATGAACTAATCGAACTTCAAAGTACAGTAAAAATTATGTTGAGACAAATGCTGAACGATTAGTGAACAAATCACTTATATTTCTATTTATTTCCAAAGCACTTAACGTTCAATTTATAAATTTTAATTTACAGTGTCAGTGTTTATCCCCACCCATTTCACATAAGAGTTGTCATAAAGGAATAAATATGTATTGCAGAGGTAGGTGATAGAGCAAAGGACAGTTAAGTAATTAACTTAGGCTGTACTGGACACAAACGCAGGCTTTGCTACTTATAAGGCTAAGTGACTTTGAGCCATTAAGTGCCTCATGTGTAAATGGGTGAACATACTCTTCATGTAGCTGTTGTGAGGAGGATATGAGATAATGTATGCCAACTGCTTAGACTTGTAAACATTCAATACAATGTACATGTTAAGAGAGTAGTACTCTTCAACAAATGGTGCTGGAGAAACTAGATATCCATATGCAGAGGAATGAAGCTGGACTTTCCCCTAACACTATACACAAAAGGTTATTCAATATGGATCAAAGATTTGAATGTAAGGGCTAAAACTACGACATAGAGCAAAAACTTCATGGCATTAGATTTGACAATGAATTACTGGATATGATACCAAAAGCACATGCAAAGAAAGAACAGAGACATATTGGACCTCAGAAAAATGAAAGAGCTCTGTGCAAAGAAACTGGAATCCTAGGACACTGTTGGTGGAAAATGTAAAATGGTGTAGCCACTGTAGAAAACAGTTCCTAAAGAAAAATAAAACTATCAAATGATCCAGCAATTTAATGCCTGGGTTCAACAACCAAAGAACTGCAAGAAAGATCTTAAAAGAGATATTTGTATACCCATGTTCAGGGCAGCATTATTTGCCAAAAGGCGGAAGCAGGGACTTCCCTGGTGGTCCAGTGGTTAAGACTCCAAGCTCCCAATGAAGGGGGCACAGGTTCCATCCCTGGTTGGGGGACTAAGATCCTATAAGCCAAGTGGCAAAAAAAAAAAAAAGAAAAATGTAGAAGCAACCCAAGTGTCCACTGATGAATAAATGGATAAACAAAATGTGGTACAAACATTCAAAGGATTATTATTCAGCCTTTAAAAGAAGGGAAATTCTGAAACATGCTATGAAATGGATATTACGTTAAGTCAAACAAGCAAGTCACAGAGAAATAAACATGGTAAGAATCTACTTTGATGAGGTACCTAGAATGGTCAAATTTATAGAGATGGAAAGACAATCCTGGCTGTGGAATTGTGTGTGAGACCTAGATGTAGAAATAGACAATGGTCAGTCCCTGCTCAAGAGAAACTTAGTCTAGCCAAGGAAAAAAGCACAGAGGCAAAAAAAGCAAACCTGGGGAAGAGTTGAGGCAAGTGTATATTTCAGAAGCCCTCCCCTTAAGTGATTCAACTACTCAGAGCAAAGAGTTTGGTGACTGAAGAGAAAAGAACCATTTAAGATATTTGCTATAGACAGAGCATGCTCTGGCTTCTCTCCTAGGCTCTCACCAACACCATGAATGGGAAAAGATCAAATAAAAACAAAGAAATTCAGGGTGAACACAAATATGACCAGTCTCTTCATTAAAGAACTATGCCATAGTTAGGATCAACTCTGCTTCATCACTATCTAATTTATTCACAGCTTTATTTCTGCATTGGATACTTGGCAGGAGCCTAAATTTTGTTGCAAGTAGAGAGAAGCTTGTTGCCTAAGTAAAAAGAGTTATGATCTGGGAGAAAGGCAAAAGTAATCAAAAAGTAAGCATAGGTAATGAAACTGGTATATTATATAACAGCATAAATGGAGATACATAATTAAAATATCAAACAGGAAAGTAAAAGTGTAATCAAACTATTATTAAAGATGAAGGTTTTTATCATCAAACTCTAAATTAAACCAAACCTCCAAAAGTGAGTACATTAACTGTTGCTTTAAAAATATTAACTATCAAAAAAAAATTATTAACTATCATAAAAATCAGCTGTAGTTGGAAGTCCCACAGGTAGTGAGCACTATGTTGAGGGAGCAGTCTACACTGGGAGGTTCTAGCTTTATTTTCAAATATAGGCCAACAGGTCCAATGAAAGTAGCTCTCTAAGAGAGAACAACAGTTATCATGTATTAGAACTTCGAACACAGAAGACAAAAATGCTAAATAAAATTTACCTCATTGTCCTGCTTCTCATCCCCAGACAAATCATCGTCTACATCACTACCTGTGCCTTCAATTGCAAGAATACCATTCCTAATGGACGGAATCATGTAGAGCTGCTGAATCACAGAGTTCATGTAACAAGTAGCACCAGCGTTTTTCAGCCCCACAAATCCTTTTGGTGGGCGGGGTCCAACAGGCGGTAGATATTCCCACTCAGTAAGTGCTTCACAAGCTGAGAAGACAAAAGGTTCTTGCAGCGTGAATACAAATATTTTGCCCACTTTATACTTTATCAAGTTGATAAATTAACATCACCAACAATTCCACTACTCTTACGGTGACCTGAAGCGGTGCTCTAAGCATACATTTCAGTCTCAATAAACCTAAGATGTATGGCAACATGTACCTCTGTATACATTCTTACCCCAGGGTCTGTGAACCCAAGTTTTATCTGAAGTTGCTTCTAAGGCAGTCTCAGTAGTCTCACAAGATGGCACAAGGCTATTTTTTCCACATGTTTACTTTTTTTTTTCCATTTATTTTTATTAGTTGGAGGCTAATTACTTTACATCATTGCAGTGGTTTTTGTCACACATTGAAATGAATTAGCCATGGATTTACAGGTATTCCCAAAAATATGGAATGCTTCACGAATTTGCGTGTCATCCTTGCGCAGGGGCCATGCTAATCTTCTCTGTATCGTTCCAATTTTAGTATATGTGCTGCCGAAGCGAGCACCACATGTTTACTTTTAACTTTATTATAGTTTAGTCATTATAAACTTAACTTTTTCTTCTTTTGTATTTTTTTTAAAGCGCCTTCAAACTCATTCTGGCATGAAGTGTTATATAAAATATATAAATACATAATAGCTTACTCAGTTTTAAATAATCCTAAGATATTACCTGGGTTAATAGCCAGGTTCTGATATCTACCAACTCTTTCATCTTCAGCTAAGCCTCCATTTCCTTCCTAAGAAGTGTTGTAATAAGAGTAACACTTGCCTTGCTTATAACTACAATGTTATTTTGAGGAGCAAAGGAGACAGTAGATCTGAGTTCTGTGAGAATTGTAAATGACTGAACATCTCCTTCTACCTAGTATAAACCTGAAAACAATGCAAATATCATCACTGCCTATAAGACCAGTTAAAGAAATTACAGTACATTGAACTGAAAGATGTATAGCTAGTAAGTGGATTTAGGTAAATATTTATGTGTTGATAGGAAATAAATATATTAAGGGGGAGAACAAAGTGAAGAACACTGTGCACTACACCACAATGTGTGGTTAAAAACTAAACAAACAACAAGATTTTGTGTGCGGATTCTGCATACAGAGATGCTGGGAGGACAGCAGGGACTGAAGATGATGGTTACAGCTATTGAAGGGGACTATGGGACTGGAATGGGCAGGAAACAGTTTGTAGGATATACCCTTCTTTGGTACTTGAAATTTTTACCGTGCAAATGTACTACTTAAAAACAAGTGGCCTTTCTCTTTCTGACATCTTGGAGCCTGTGGAGGAATGCTGGGAACAGTACTTCTAAAACAAATAGGTCTGGAAGGCTATGGTCCAAGGCTCCACTTGTGGTGGCTATAAGCAGGGTCCTGTGAAACCAGAGGGAGCATTTGGTTCCTCTTCTGAAAATTGGAGTTTATGCCCAAGATGAAACCGAAATTTGGGCAAGAGATGTGCTCACATGTACAAAGCAAAGAACAGTGACTCCTGGTGCCAAACTGAACAAAACTGTAAGAATCTGGGAAAAAGATAACTTGTGTCCATGGAAACAGTGGCTTGGTTCTTGTGGAATTCCGCTATATCTCTTGAGGGTTTAAACTTATTGAAAACTAAAGTGTGGAATTGTTTAAAAAAAATGAAAACAAAAAATCCCGATCCTACTGTATATAGATTTTGATAGGATAACTATATAATCTTTTAAGCAGTTTAATCAGAATCTCCTAAAATATTATTAAACATCCTGATATTCTAAAATATAACAAATCACAAAAAAATTTGACATGTCCTCGAAGACTGCCTATTATCAATTCTTCGAAAACAGAACAGCCTCCATTGTGGTTTGCTTTCTTATGTCTGTTGTGTCAGTCATTTTCATATCACCCTCATCCCCTCTGAGCTTCAGTTCTGTATCAGCGAGATCTGGAGTCTACAGTCAGTTCCATGGGCTTCATGTGGGCATTAACTGAGGATCAAGGGCACTAGAATGTTACCTTCTCATATCCTAGTCTTTAAAACCAGATTTTCTCAGAATTAATTTGAAAATAACATAAAGAACTTCTAAGTGAGGGCCTAAAAGGTTTTTCAATGCATGTAATTTGAATTTTTACATTGTTGAACTCTGAAATCTATTGACTATTTATTCCCTCCTGGAAAAGGAAATGGCAACCCACTTCAGTATTCTTGCCTGAAAAATCCCATGGATACAGGAGCCTGGCAAGATACCGTCCATGGGGTCACAAAAGTCAGACACAACTTAGCGACTAAACCACCATTTATTATTCTGGAGTTTGGATTTTAGTCCATATTTGACTGAAATCAAATTTTGTGGCTAAATGCTTGTACCACTCACAGGAAGACATTTTACAAACATCTAAAAACTTTTCTACATTAAGACTTGCTTGTAATGGTGTTAAACTAGTTGCTGAAAGAAAGGAAAATACTGAGTTGAAGATATTTACTAAAAGGAAAAGAATTTGAACACATTAGAGAATTATCTGTCATCAGAACTTTGTATTTTAAAATACTTACTAGTTATTGCTGTGCCAATGTAATACATTTCAGTCAAAGAATCTACTATCTGTTTGAGGTTCCTCACACAGCCAACAGCTAATGCTACAAGTAACTCAAAGCCCGCATTAATGGTAGCTGGTGAACCACAGACTGGAATAGCCTGTTCGGCTGGCAGTTCTCCATTTCTCATATACTGCAGGTAAACATTGGACGCGGGGAAGATGAAATCATCAATTAATTCCTACAAAGTTGAAAAATGATTATGTATTAGAAATGGTATGTATTTATATAAAACAAATATAGTTATTTATGTGTGCATGTGTTTCTTAAGAAAGAAATGTCTCTTGGCAGGAAATATTGTTAAATTACTTGTCAGAACACAAGATCTCATTACATTTCCGCTAACTTGGATTTTCTAATAAAAAGATCCCTACTTCAAAACACTTCCCTACAATTAACAAACAAATCTAATTTGTTAGGTTAAAAACTCTGTTAAGTATCAAGAACAAGCTGACTGTAGCACTTACAATTCACATTAAGTAAATTTACTCTTAATTACATGTATACCAAAACTCATTTTGAATTAGAAGAAAATGTCCTAAAGTGGTACTTTTTGTTTCCCTGTGTTACCACGTATGTGAAAAAACTCATTATGGAAATACGCACAGTCTTGGGACTTTCCTGGTGGTCCAGTGGCTAAGACTCCACACTCCAAATGCTGGGGGCCAGGTTTTGATCCCTGGTCAGGGAACTAGACCCCACACACTGCCACTAAATACCTTGCATGCCACAGCTAAGACCCAGTGCAGCCAAATAAATATTAAAAAAAGAAAGAAATATGCACAGTCTTACATAATAGAGGTCTGTCTCATTTTACATAGTCTGATGAAGTGAAAAGTTCAGATTTTCTAAATAGAAAAATTAAATAGTGCTTATTTACATAGTACTGAAATTTTATTTATGTATAAAATTTAGAAACGATATTTAAAACATTACTGTAGCCTCTATATTCTTTAAAAGTAGAAAAGAGAAAAGGACAAGATAATATACCAAAGACTAATGATACCATAAATTAACCAGATTTGCTAACAAACATTCAGAAGGTTATGATATCTAGCTTAGGACCAAGATGACATAACTTACCTTAATGAGATTAGCACCTCCTTTTTCACAACCAATATGATACTTTTTCTCAGGGGTTTGAAAAGCCAGTAATTCTTTTGTTACCCCAAGATGACCTTCCAAGATCGTCTCTTCAATACCCGTTTCACCTGTTCTCTTAACATCATCCTGCCAAAGAAAAACATCAAATACCTAACTTATGAAAAGGTGGTAAAGAGGGAAGGAGAAGCCAGGACAAAAGAGCTGGACAGATAATTCCCTCAAACCTTTCTATTCTAAACAATTTTTTTCTCTCCAGAACTTTCAGAAGTAGGCTTCCCAAACTAGGAAGAAATGTTAATCCGAAGGCTACTAGCTATCAATCTTTTTAGAAATAAATTCTTCTACAACTAAGTATCAGATGTTAATAAAGTTAAATTAAGTGCTGGCCTATCACTGATTTTTTGATGAAAACAATTCAAAAATACTTTTCAAAAGATGAAAATTTGCAAATGGGCCTAAGATTCTAAAATGGAAGAAGCTGAATATCAGTGTTTTGAGTCTCATGTACAACAAAGCATTTGACAAAACTAGTTATGCATTCCTTCAGTGAATCACGAGTTAGTAATATCCAAACCACAGAGTATATTCTTTGGTTCTTTAACCAAATTGCTCAAAGACTATCAACTATTAATAAAACATTCTATTTATTGATACGATAAACACAGTATTAAATGCAACTTACCCTGATTCTCTTAAGCCAATCAATTTCATTATTAAGAAGAACTTCAGCATTGGGTATGTTAATATTACTATTGTAGGCATAATTAAGAAGGTGCCTTAAAAGAGTAAAGTAGTCGCCTGAATGTTTAGCTCTCTCTCTGGCTGTGCTCTGAAACAATAAAGTTGAATAATATTAATTTACAAGTCCATCCTTGGAATCCACTTTTTAAAAACCCAGAGTTAACCAGAGTAGATGACTAAGATAGTATGGGCAATTACCAATATTTATTAAATAAATATAGACTGCTCTGACTTTAACATAAGCTAGAACCATCAATTCTTGACTATTCCTGGTGTAAGAATGAATCACAATGATAAGCATATTTTTAAAATGTCTCACCCCCAAAACGGTGAAGAGCAGAGTAATGAAGAAAAGTAGAGGCCTGTGTCCCATGCAACATCTGGTGCACATTAAAAAGAACTGCTCCTGTGCCACCTGGCGAACAGTTCTGAAATAAAAATTTTTCACATTCAATATATTATCTTCATGAAAAAAAGGAAAAAAAACCCCAACCTTCCAACACTGTCTCTTGGGACGGGGGACGGTGTTAAGGGGTTGGTAAATTCAAAGTAAAAATACAAGAATATGTAACACCCCTTTAAGCAGCAACATTTCATAGATGAACTTAGTCTCTGTGTCATTTTAGAACTAAAATGTCAAAATGTCAATGAGGGAATTTGAGGGATACCCTCTCACACCCTCTCTTGGAACAGGCTGGAAATGTTCCTCTAGATACAATTGTATGGTAAGTCTTATGCATCTTCTGGGCATTCCACAGAATTTTTATCTCAAAGCATATTACCCAGATCAGCAGCATCTGAGAACTTGCTATATGGTTTCTCAGGTCCCAGCAACCCGTGTTTTAATAAACCCTTCAGGTGATTCTAACATGTGCTAAAGACTGAGGACAACTGTATTACACAACATTCTATGGATTACTCATGGGAAAAACTTCTCTGGTCCCAGTACTGGGAATTTTACCTAAGCATCATGGATCTCTTAAAAAATATGTATCCTATACAGCTATCACTAGAATAAATACTTCAAGAGGGCAAAGACATCATCCATTTAGTTTACTTTTGTGCCTCCAGAATGAAGAATCATGTCTGGCATGTAACAGGTGCTAAGAACTAGTTACCAGATGTATAAGTACTGTTGGTTTACAAGATGGAGGTCTGTCTCCATTAGATAGTAAGCTCTTTCAGGGCAGGGCCTTTGCTTCATTGTTATGTGAGTTCCTGGCACCTAAAGCAACTTCTGACATATGGAAGATGCTCAAAAAGCATCTCCTGACAAAACATTGGTGCATTTCAGACATTACAAACTACATTTTGAGAATAACTATGTTTCTGTCAGTGTGCTAGCTGATAGCTTAGAACCAATTTTTTAATTCAATATGAGAAGCTGAAAGTATACATTCTGTGTACTAACCTCCCTCATGGGTATTTTTTAGGTTTCTGAACTCATACATAGTCCTATAAACCTGAGGGACCTTTAGAAGCTTTGTCGGTTGAGTCTGGTGAAATAAATCAAATAAATCAACACCAAGAATACTTAGTTTTGGGGGTAGAGGGTCTGTAACTTTTACAAAGATAAATGTCATTCATACTGTCCCAGCTTATTTATCTTTTTTGAAGTTAGATATGCAGCCCAAAGAGCATGAGGGTCTATAAAGAGTTGATGCTTGCCAGTTCCTAATGAATCCTCCTTCACACATGCAGCCTTCAGTAACTCGTCAAAAGAAACATGTCTTTAATAGGATTTTTAAATAAAATCTGGTTGTCTGTATCCTCACAATTTACTCAATCTGATTATTTCTCACTTCTACCTAAGCATCATGGATCTCTTAAAAAATATGTATCCTATACAGCTATCACTGGAATAAATGCTTCAAGAGGGCAAAGACATCATCCATTTAGTTTACTTCTGTGCCCCTAGTCTGTACTTCCAGATTCTCTCATCTTTTATTTGGACTAATGAAGTAGTCCAAGTGCGTTTCCTGCCACTCTGTAACTTATTCTCAACAAAGCAACCAGAATAAACTTAAATGTTAACCCAGGGCCAATAGGGGCCTTCCCTCATAGTCCAGGGGTTAAGACTCTGTGCTCCCAATGCAGGGGGCACAGATTTTAATCTCTAGTCAGGGAACTAAGATCCCACATGCCCAGCAGAGTGGCCAAAAAAAAACCACACAAAAAACAAAACAAAAAAACCCTCCAAAAACCACGCAACCCAAATGGAAAACAAACCCGCCAATGGATACCCATTTCACTTAGGGTAAAAGTTAATGTATTTACAGTGATCTATAAAATCCTCACAAGCTGCTTGTTGCCTCTCTGGCCTCACCTCCTATGACTTCCCTGCCTCTGCTGTTCCAGTAATCCTCATCTCCTCCATACTGTTCCTGCCTTGGGATATTTGACCTGTTGTTTCTTTCTGCTTAAAGCACACTTTCCCCAAGGCGGTAGGGGGAGGGATAAACATGGAATTTGGGATTAACAGACTACTATATACATATATATAAAGGACCTACTATATAGCACAGGAAATTATATTCAGTATCTTGTAATAACCTATGATGGCAAAGAATCTGAAAATATATATATATATATATAACTCAATCACTTTGCTATACACCTGAAAAAACTGTAAAGCAGCTATACCTTAATTAAAAAGCAAACATATGATGGAGGTGTTAGCTAACCTAAGGCTATGGTGGTAACCATATTGCAAGATATGAGTGTATCAAACCAACACTTTGTACACCTTAAACTTACAGTTATGTTGGCTACATCTCAATAAAGCTGAACAAAATAAAAAAATACAATTCAAAATGAAAAACAAAACACAAAAAAATCCCACCCAAAAATCCAACACACTTCCTCCAAAGATCTCTATGTCACTCTTTTCAGAGCTTTGTTTAAATGGTCTCCTTCTCAGGGAAGCCTTCTCTGACTATCCTACATAAAACTGAACTCCACTGACCACCCCCCTCATCTGTAATTCCTGCTTTCTCTCAATAGCATTTATTATTATAACATACCATATATTTCCCCATGTCTTCCCTCCCCACTCCTCACCTCTCTTTTAGTACAGACTCCCAAGAAGGTTGACGTTTTGCCTGTTTTATTTACTGCTATATCCCCAGTAGCTAAGTTACATATGACAGTAATAATGATTAGAGCTCAAGTTTAAAAAGTTACCTTATGAAGGTCAAGATTAGATTGACAGAGGATGGAAAACTGACATTTTCTACAAATTTGATTGACTTGCACAAAAAGAAGCCCAAAGCACAATCAATGTCATTGATTAAATGCTCTTTTTTTTTATTAAATGCTCTTAAAATGAAAAGCTAGGACTTTATAATTGGCCTTTATTCTTGGTGTATAATGTAAAAGTTATTACCATAACCACACCTTGTGAATTTCATACTGACTTAACAACTTCACTAAAAAAACACTTGCCTTCTAGGTATGCAAGAAAGGAAGCCAATGTCCTACTTATTTAAATCCTGTAAACCACATTTTAAAAATGGACTAAAATACATACCTCTTAGGTGAAACTAAATTCTGGAATTATAGAAAAAGTAATTTTACTTTTGAGAATAATGTTGGCATTGTGTAGACAAAACCAAACAAATTCAGGTCTAGGCAAAAACACAGTTTAATAAAAATTTCCTCAATATTAATGTTCTATAGAGACAATAAACATTTGATTTCTGGGACAAATTTTGCCAACATAAATTAATTCATTTCTGCTTCAAAAATTAAGATCAAATCTCTTACAATTAAAAAGATACTTACTTGCTGTGACAGTGCAATAGTAAATCAATAATGAATGTCTGCCAAGCCTTTTCTTTACTAAGAGTATCTAAGGCTGTTGGAATCAAGGCAAAACATAATGTCATCACTTCCATTGCTTCACAGCAAACCTGTTCATCCTCCAAATCTGGCTCATTGCCTGCATTGGTCTGTAAAATTATAGTCAGGGACAAATTACCTAGAGATGCATTTAAGAAAAATCTCATACAACTTCAAGTTAGTGCTTAATACATACCTACTCACTTAAACCACTTGGCCTGAGCCTCTTTCCCTACAACTCCTAAGGCCCCTTTGGAATAGTCCAGAAATGACTCCAGAGGATGAAGTCTAATGCCATTCTTTTGCTACATCCCAAGGAGGGCTGCGGAAGCACACCGAGCATACTGCCTGCTTCTCTGCCCTTCCGGCTCCTAGAGACCTTCTGAGTCGTGTAGTTCTGCACCAACAACTATTCCTTCCTCAAGAATCATTCTTGCACTGCAGACAGACTACTCAACTGACTAGTTCCATCATGGAGCTTGCCTACAGCACTATTTTATTCAAACGCAATGGTCTTAGACCACTGTTCAGGAAGGATTTGCAGGCTTTATAAACTAAAATATGCTTCAGTAGGTAGCTGATAAATTCTAACCTGAATTTATCAATAAGCAGCATTTCTAGTACATGCTGGCAAAAGAACAGGCATTCAAATATCAGCTAAATGAATAAACACCACCACACCAGACATACTGTAGGACATAAAAACGTATCCCAGGCAAATCAGGGTTATGCTGGCCATAAAAGGGAAGCTCCTACAATTTAATTTCCCCTTCTATAAAAGCAGCAGTGGTATTCAAGGGCAGGTATATATAACAGAAAGTCAGAGTCATCTCTCTTCTTTAAATGACTTGATTAATCTAATGGGAGATCAAGGATGATACCTAACTGGCTGATATTCTTGACTGCTTTAAAAGAATCAAAAATACTTAAATGCCATGGTATCCCAACTGACAGTCACCTAAACTAAAATTTACACAAGACAGAAAGATAATGAAAGAAGAATAAAGAGAATAGGAGAAAGCAAATTCAGTATGAAACAATTATATCTGATCATAGTGAGAAGACAGTTTAAGAAAAAGCCTTGTGGCACAAATTCGAAGTAGTTTATTTTCAAAGTAAAATTTTACTATATCCTCACCTTAACTATAGCTACCAGTTTACTTTCAACCATTAAAATGCAACTGGTTTTACTTTTAAAGATGGCAGATATAATAATTCAGCCTCATGCACAATTAAACAGCATTTACTTTAAAGTATTATATTTCTGTGGTAATTCTTACCTTCTCATAAATTTTAGTGATTTCTTCATTTGGGCTAAATACTAGCTGTAATGCCCCACATCCTGATGCCCAGATGATTTTTTGGATAGCTCTAATTACACAAATATCAGGCATATATCTTGAAGCCTGCAACACAATGAGTAATTAGAACAGTGGATAAAGCACTGGAATGAAAAAAATCCCTAGAAAAGCAAAAATACTTCTCTGTAAAGGAAACAGAAATGGCTATGAAGCAGTACCACTGACTTTAGGTTCCCACATTGCCTTTGTTCCATTATTTCGTTTAACAGCAATACCATGAAGTCTGCTCTCCAAGTTATTATCCGGCTCTACACTACTTTCAGAAAATCTGAAAAACACTACAGACGTGACCTAACCATTCCACTCCTAGTTTTTTACCCAGGAGAAATAAAAACTTACATCCACACAATCACTTGTACAGAATGCTCACCGGAGCTTTATTCAGAGCTAAGAAAGAGAAACAATCCAAATGTCTTTCGCCAAGTATGTGGATAAACACAAGGTGGAATATTCATAATGGGATATAATACTCAGCAATAAAAAGGAATGGACTAAAGGTCCACACCACATAGATAATGCTCAAAGCCGTTATTCTGTGTGAAAGAAGCTAGACATAAAAGAACACAAACTGTAAGATTCCACTTGTGTAAAATTCTAGAAAGTGAAAACTACTATACAGTAAGAAAAGATCAGTGGTTATCTGAGGCCAGAGGAAGAAGTGACTGCAAAGGGGCATAAAGAAAGAGGGACAGGGATGTTCTGTGTCTTGACTACAGTGGAGGTGTGACACAAACATGTATTTGTTAGATTTTACTGAAGTATATACTTTAAAAGGATGCTATTCATTGTACATCATGTATTATGTGTTCAGCTGCTCAGTTGTGGCCAACTCTTTGCGACCCCATGGACTGTAGCCAACCAGGCTCCTCTATCCCTGGGATTTCCCAGACAATGGAGTGGGTTGCCATTTCCTGCTCCAGGGGATCTTCCCGGCCTCGGGATCGAATCCACATCTCTTACATCTCCTGCATTTGCAGGTCGATTTTTTTTTTTTTTTAAACCACTGAGCCACCTGGGAAGGTGATTAAAACCAAAAAGTATTAATATTAACATTAGATACAATTCATGTTAAGGGGACTTTATCTGGACTGACTTGGTGATTAGAGTGAGTGGGTCTAGGAAAAGGAAGCCCCCAAATGTGATAAGGGTTATTGCTACATTAACAGAGGGTCAAAAATGAAAGAAATGAACCTTCTGGAATTTGAGAGCCTTACAAGTTTAATACTAACCTCATCAGATATTTGCTGAGCAAGACGAATTGACACATTTCTAAGCATGCATTCAGATGATGGATTGGGAATGCTCTGAAGGGCACTTTGTAGCACCACTGCTTGATCATGAGTCACTTGGTTGACCTGAAAAAAGTCAAACATTTTAATACTATGTACATACCCAAATCCAATCATTTGCCCCTCAATTCATCCTCAGCCCCCCCAGGATGATGTGCCTTCTGTAAATACACTGTAGAACCTGTGTGGTTTACACAGAAAGTTCCTTGCATTACCAACAATGTGGGCTTTCTCTTTACCTTGTGCAGTGGAGGGCCACATATCCCTCTGCAAATCCCTTTTAGATCAATGTGACTTGTGTCTCTACAACTGCATTCAGTATAACTTGTAGAGGTGAGTGAATGATAAACCAAACTGACTCATTCCAATTCTATCTAGAAACTCAGTAAAGTACTCCACATGCATGTTCCTGGGCAGACCCTGCTCCCCATTCACCTGGTCATCAAATTCTTCTTAGAAAAGGAGAAAAACTAAGGAGTATCAGTAACAGAATAGAAGCATTAATGTATAAAAGGCACTAGAGCATCACACTTAAGTTCATAAAGAAAAAACGTTACTTTAAAGTCATTAGCCAGGCAATTGTTTTACAAGTTCTACCTCCTCGTTATGCTCCAAGTATTTCTACAACAGTATTTAAGACAAAGCCTGTTTTACTAATTTTGCCTTTAGTGTCCTGCTGACTGTGAGCTCCTTGAGATTAGTGGCTATTATGTACGTTCATATCCACAGTAGCACATTTTCTGAATAAAAGAGAAAAGTGAAAGAGGGAAGCATTTATATTTTGTTTACCTCATTAACAAGCTCCTGTGTCAGGAATTACAATAAAAATTTGTTTTTATCTTAAGAAGACCACCACTGTTTAAAAATCCTAGTAAATATACTACACTTTTAATACAGAACAATTTAAGACTTAGGCCACTTTTTTTCATTATCCTTTTTGATGAAAATTTCTAACATATATGACATTGGAGAGAACAGTATTACCCACTGTGCTGCTTTTAACAATTATGAACAAAAGGACCAAAATTATCTTGGTTAACCACTCCTGCTCACTTTCCATCCTCTCCCTACCCCAGGATTATTTTGAAGCAAATCCTAAATACTCTAATTTTATTTGTAAATGACAATTATTTTTGAGAGGGTTCTTTCTTTTAAACATAATCATAAGTATCATCATCACACCTAAAATAATTATCTTAATTACATGTGATTATTATAACATCACATATATAATCAATATTCTAATCTCTCTAGGACCTAAGCCATTCCTAAAACAGAAAATTTGTATTTCTGAACCTTGTATCTTCTATTGCTAACTTAGAAAACTATCACTTATAAGGCATGTAAAAGAACTCAAATGCATAGTTTTGACTTCTCATAGCAGACATTGAATTCTGGCATGTCTTGAGAACCTTTGCTAAAATGGATCAAGGATGCCATCAAGACGAAAACAGTCAATATGAGATCAGAATTGGAGGTTAAGCCTGTTAAGGGGGGAAGAGAGGTTGCCAACAGGGTAAATCAGTTACAGGTGACCCCTGAACAGCATGTGTGTTAAGACAGACATTCCATGCAGTCGAAAATCTGCACATAGCTTTACAGTTGGCCCTGGGTATCTGTGGTTCCAATCAATTTAGGATGGTGTAGTACTGCAGTGCTTATTGAAAAATCCGTGTATAAGTAGACTCGAGCAGTTCAAACCTGTGTTGTACATGGGTCAACTGTACATCTTTTTTATTACCATCTGTGTCTATATGAGGTAGTAAAAGATTCATATGGAGTTTTTAATAGGTTTAAAATAATTGAAAGAGTGACTTCCCTGGTGGTCCAGTGGTCAGGACTCTGTGTTTTCACTGTTGAGAGTCCGGGTTCATTCTCTGGTTGGGAAACTAAGATCCCACAAGCTGCTCAGCAAGGCCAAAATAAATAAAATAATTGAAAGACTATCTGGGGTTTCTATGGTTCCATACCAATTTCAGGATTATTTGTTCTAGGTCTGTGAAGAATGTCATAAGTATTTTGATAGCAATTGCATTCAATCTGTAGATTGCTTTGGGTATGAACATTTTAACAACATTAATTCTTCCAATCCATGAACACAGCAAAACTTTCTATTTCTTCATATTGTATTACAACTTCCTTTTATCAATGTCTTATAATCTTCAGACTATAGGTCTTTGATTTCCTCAGTTAAATTTATTGCTACATATTTTTTTTCATGTGACTCCTTTCTTGATTTCTCTGATAGTTTATTATTAGCATATAGAAATGCAACAGATTTCTGTATATCAATCTTGATTCTTACAACTTCACTGAATTCACTTTTTCTACTATTTTTTTTTTTTTTTGGTGGAGCCTTTAGGGTTTTCTAAAAATAGTATCATGTCATCTGCAAACAGGGATCCAACAATTCCAGTCCTGGGTATATACTTGAAGAAAATGAAAACCCTAATTTGGACAGACACATGAACCTCAATGTTCATTAATAGCATTATTCACAATTACCAAGATATGAAAGGAAGCAACCTAAGTGTCCATCAACAGATGAATGGATAAAGATGATGTGGCATGTGCGTAGTGTATGGAATATATTACTCAGCCATAAAAGGAATGAAGGTTTGCCATTTTTGACTACATGGATGATCATGAGGGTATTATGCTAATAGAGTAAGTTAGAGAAAGAAAAATATCATATATTTTTATGTATATGTGGAATCTGAAAGATAAAACAAACAAGTATAGCTAAACAGAAATAGAACCACAGATAGAGAAAACAAACTAGTGGTAACCAGAGTGGAAAGGGGTAGGTTGGAGAAGTGCAAAAAAGGCGAAGAGGATAAGAGGTACAAATACTATGTATAAAGTAAGTGAGTTATGGGGAATATAGCCAATATTTTATAACTACATGAAGTATGATCTATAAAAACATCAAATCACTATGCTGCACACCTGAAACTAACATAACATTGTAGTCAACTATGTGTCAATAAACATTAAATGAAAGTCAACAGGACTTAAGGGGGCCAGGAAAAACTCTCTGCTTAGAGTACAGTCAGTGAAAAGCATTTTTAATTTTAATACAAATATAATTTAATAGAAGGAAACCAATAAAATGAGGTACTACTAGAAAGGAACTGAAAGCATTTTGAATCAACTCTGAACTCTATACTTAAGAGTTACTAAGTTTAACTTTAAAAACTGCCATCTGTTATTATAAAAAGATTTTTAAAAAGTCTGTATTACCGATGCCATGGGATTCACGCCTTCCACACCTGGCTGACAAGCTTCTGCCACGGCTCGAACGTGACCATAGCCAATGGCAGTTAGCAACAGCTTGGCTATTTTAAGAGCATTGAGGTAGGCACCCCTTCGAGTTTCCATATCTGCATTTGGTAAGAAGTTATTTCTGGTTAGCATGCTCAAGACAAGGGGGAGGCCACCACTTTTCAAGAAGTGAAATTGAAAATCAGAGGAATCATCAGCCAGAGGTGCACCAGCAGGCATTAACAAGGCATAGACTACCTGGAAAAAAGAAAAACCTGTATTAAAAGATTTTAAAAAGACAACTTATTTGCCTCATCATCATTAGTTTAAAATTTTCCTGTATTTTTAAATTCTTTCAAAAATACTTCACAAGTATTCCATGTTCTTCACACTATCATATAAAAGGCCAAATTTAAAGAACATGGGATAAATTCAAAAAGTAAAAACAAACCTCTGTTAGGTATAGTACTTGTGAGGCTGAAGGACCAAAGAAAAGTGAGTCAAGAGATGGACTAAGGCTGCTGTCTCCAAGTTTGGCATGGTCTAAACAAATAGCTCTTAATTTTTCTATTGTTGTGCTGTCTGTAAGAAAAAAAAAAAGACATAGTCTAAAATAAAACATAATTCATGCATTCATATTTCATTTTGGACATTCTGAAGACTACTTTAGTATGGAATAGAAATCAGTTGAGTTATAGACTCAAACTTCACAAGACATAACCAGATCTGCATTGATTTAAAACAAAGGAAAAGTCACAATCAATCAGGGCTCCTTTATCACTCAACGCAGATATGAAGGAAGCAGTCTCCTCCTACTCAGATCTGAAATCAACATGTCTTCCTCAGACACTAGAGGCTGAAGATGGAGAAGGAAATGGCAACCCTCTCCAATATTTTTGCCTAGGAAATCCTATGGACAGAGGGGCCTGGCAGGCTACAATCCATGGAGTCACAAAGAGTGGGACACGACTGAGTGGCTGAGCACACAGCAACGGAGACTAAAAAATACAACACACTTCAAAAGGAAGTAGTTCTTACTGAGAATAACAAAATGAAAGTATGACAAGCTCTCCTTTCCAACTTCTCCAATTTTAGCCTCCATGACACCATGTATTAACTGGTTTGTTACAATGCAGGAAGCTTAGTGGTACCATTAATAACTGTACCTTAAAAAGTAAACATTAAAAAAAAAAAAAAGGAACAGTATCTCAAAGTAAAAAGATTTTTTTAAAATAATATTAAAAGATGTACTTCATTTAAGTCACAGTGAAAAGATACAGTAGGAAAGAGAAAGAATCCCATTATTAGCTACCAAATATTCAAACTTACTTCAGAAAGTACTTGAATGATGAAAAAATTTGCAAGGTAAATGTCCTATGATTTAAATACACTTGGATAAATAAGATTTTCTTTTGTTAGTAAAAGCTTTTTTTCTTGAAGAGTAAAGATAACTGAAAGTTACTATAATTTCCATAGGCTAAGCTAACTTTTAGTGGCCCGGAAATATCTTATTAAAAAAAATTCAAATTAGAGTTGAAATATGTTGGTTTTCCCTATTCTGAAGGGGCAGTAACATGTACCTAAATGAAATATTGTTTTAATAATATAACATTTGTGAATATCTTCTCCTGTCATTAAATATTCACCCCTACATCATTTTTAATGATTAAAATGATATGTCATTTTAACCAGTATACTAGTTTAATATCTAGCAATGGGTATTTTAGGTTTTCTCAAAAAACATTTGTTAGACAATAAAGATCCAAATTATTCTCTACAAAGAAACCAATTCATACACTATATCTGAAAATATCTTGCTTAGTTTTATAAGTATTCTGAGTGAAGGGCAAAAAGGGAATAGGAGAAAAGAAACAAGAGCTATAAGAAAAGGATGCACTGAGTTTTAAGTAAATCATTTAATGTGGGATTATAGTTTATTCATTTGCGGGATCTGAACCACATCACTAGTGGCCACTTCACCTTTAGCATCTATGAACCTAAATAACTTTAGGTCCTCGATTATGTACATGCTCATTTAACAAAATATGGAAAATAAAGAGAAAAATTTAAACTGCCCATAATGCTAGATTTTAGTTTATTTCTCTCTAGTCTTTTGAAGAGATACCTAAGTCTAATTAATTATATGATATAGCAGCATGCTATTTAAAAGTCTAGAAAATGATGAGCAGTAACACATGGGTTAAGAGTACAAACTTTAGAGCCCAACTGCATGCATTTTTAGAACTTCCTCTAAGCTGTGTGTGTCTGGCCAAAAGCAGCAACAGCAGCAGCAGCAACAACAACAACAACAAAAAAAGTCACTCCGTGCCTCAATTTCCCCATCTTTAAAATACAAATAAAAACAATTCCCTCCATAGGAATGTTGTGAGGTTAAGTAACTTAACAAGTGTGAAGATATTAGTTAGACCAAACTCCTGGGAAAAAGAAAGCTCTGAAGAGGAAAAGCAACTCCTCTGCTGGTAAAGCAACATACATTTTAACTTCTCTGTATCAGGCAAGAACCTGGTTTCCTGATGTGCTTAAAAGGTCACAAGAACTCTTGAGGAGTTTACCTACAGAGGACGGTGTAAGTTCTAAGGTTTAACAGCAAATTATAATGGAGGCACTTGAGTTTAGGCAAAGATTCAGAATAAACAGAAGTCAATTACTAGGAAAAAGCTTCTAATTCCACCTTGGTTTTGTTCCTCCTTTTAAAATATGTGCAAGTGTACACAAGCACTAAACGACTCCTCAAATGTTAGAAACAGAATTTATAACTACTTCCTCTTCTTTGAGCTCCTGCCTCCTTTCTTGAAGAATGTGTTGGTGCGCAGCCCATGTGAGTAACAACCGCAGTGACAGAGACCAGGCTGACACTTGTTGAATACTGATTAAACACCAGTCACCAGGCTAGGGTTTTCCATATATGATCCCATTTACTCCATACAATTCTATGAAAGAGTTATTATTGGTCCAGTTTTATAGATAAGGAAGCTCTGAAAAACTAAGAAAACTTATGTCTAAGGCCATGGAATAGCAACTTGAAGAAGCAGGATTTGAACTCAAGTTCCTTTGAGTCCAAAGCCTATGATTTGTCTACTGTCGTACAACCATTACTGGCATTTTCAAAGCTGGTTATTTCAAATTTAGGTACGATACTTGGATTATATAAAATATGATAAAAGCACCCTCTTAAGTTTTCTGCTTGAGCTGCCTGGCAAGAGCTCCCTCTCACCGTCTGGTGGCAGTATGCTCCAATCACAAGATCAGAGATTATGAGATGGCCTTTTCAAATGTTAAAGATGAATTTGCATACATAAAGCAACAACTCTTACTCGAATACTAGGTAAGTAAAATAAATTCTAAGCAATACAATGGCTAAAGATCAAATTAAATCAAGTCATTAAGAAAAGCTTTATTTAAGAATCTAATTAACATCTGAATTGATTCTATACCATATGACTCAGGAAATGAGATAGGGTGAGAAAGGTCAACATGGTGTCTACTTTAGAGAAGATAACGGGAAACACAAAGACAGTTTTAAAAATTATGTAGGCCAATTACTGAACTGCATTTATCAGCAATAAACTTCACTAAAATGAGAATAAACTAAAATGCATAAACTCAAAAAGAATAAAGACACTGAAAGGAGTGGAAACATTAGAGATGTCGGCTAATTATTGAAGGTGTAGAGGGGATGGAAGATATTAATAGCTGGCTTAGCTGAACCCAAGAAGTGCTTTTCGGGGAGAAAGAAAAAGGGTACCTATAAATCAGCACCCCACCAAATTCTAGGAAAGTTAAGGATATGAAAGCAAAACATACTTGAGCAGATACAGATGAATTAAAGACTTTAAAAACAGAGTGACTGAAGTATGCAAAAGAAGCCACTTTCTACTCTATTTCCCTCCCTAATAGAGTGATAAAGCTGGGAAGCAGATGTCTCACTAACAGAGAATAGAGACAGATATGGAATGCAGAAAAACTAAGAAGCAGGATTAGTCAGTATGTGTCCATGTTTGTTTTCTGATATAAATGTGTGTGTTTAAGCATGTATTACTTCCTCAGTTGAAAGAAAAGGCCTAGGTGACAAGAACACCACAGTAGTAACGAGCACAATTTAGCTGTTGGATTCTGGTTTCTACCAGAGTACCCTCCCCCTTGCTAAAAGGAGAAATGCCTGTTTCTAGGGCTGGAATAGAGAAAGTGCTACACGAACTTTACATATCTTGTGCCAGAAAGTAAAAAGTACTTGAAAGATGATAAAACTGTATCTAAACTACATCTAAAAAAGCATTGGGTTCATATAAGAAACATAGTGAGTACATCCACTGACCGTAACTGGGACAACTGAGCGTCAAAATACATAATGATTGTAATGGCTATAATGGATAAGGTGGATAGATAGCATCACCGACTCAATGGACATGAACTTGAGCAAACTCTGGGTGACAGTGGAGGACAGGAAAGCCTGGAGCGCCTGCAGTCCATGGGGTCAGAGAGAGTCGGAGACGACTCAGCAACAACGTAATGGCTATAACCCAATGGATAAAATAAGAATCTATGAGTAAATAGTGATCACACGTTAATTTACAGGGGAGAAGCAAGGCTCTACTTTATTGTTCTTGGAGTTCTTGAATTGTACTTGCAACTTTTCTGTAAGGTAGTAAATGTTTCCAAAAAGTTTTTTTAAACATTTTTTTAAAAGTTGTATAGAATTGAATGATCTGGTTCAATTCTCTCCACCAACTCTTATTTTCAGCTCATAACTTTGTAGAATGTTAGGTTTTAGACGAAAACATCTATTAGAGCACAAACACTGAAATGTGTTCATGAAAAACAAAATCCTATGGAAAGGATTCCTTGGAGGAAGGTCTTAAAATTTTAACACTAGAATACCTGGGGTCAAGAAGTTAACAGAAGAGCTAGAAAAAGTTAAGGATGCCACCACAAAGCCTAACTACTAATCAAATGTGAATGTTATATATTCAGATTAGTATTATTTTGGAAACAAACAAAACAAACCAAACCACCTCCCATGTACCCCTTCTGAAATAAATGCACGAAGGTTATCAGCATGATAACAGAGTCCCTCAAAAAAGGTTCAAGACATAGGAGCTGATGAACAGAAATCTACCATAGGAAGGCTGAAGAAAGAAGTCCCAAAATGGTAACTGCATAACCAACAGTAACCAGATGAGAGGAGGCAGCAGAAAAATTCCAGAACAACAGTGGAGCCGACATATTATATAATACCCATGATAATGGAAAACTATTTTGAGAGATTATTAGAGAATACATGGGAAGAATTAGTGATAGGTGTATAGAAAATCAAGAAAATGAAAAGGGAAAATTATTAAGCCCCCCCCCCCCAAAAGCTGCCATTAATCTAGCAAACTATTTTTCACACACTCTTGAACAAGCAAATGCTGAATAGGATTTTAAGAAAATATTGGAGGAGGGACTTCCCTACAGGGCCAGTGGTTAAGACTCTGCCCTTTCACTGCAGGGGGCTTAGGTTAGATCAGGGAACTAAGATCCTGAATGCCATGTGGTGCAGACAAAAAAAGGAAAAAGAAAAAATTGGAAGAATGTGGAAGTAAGTTTACATTTACACAACGGAAAACCAGTAGGTATGTAAAACTGACAGTTGTATGAGGGTATTATTTACAGATAATACAAACATAGATAATAAAAGCTAACAAATTGAAAATGGATGTTTCCCAGGAATAAAACAGAAACCATGCTATAGACCATAATCCAAAACACAGTCCAAGGGTCAGAAAATGTTTTCTGTAAAGGGCCAGATAGTAAATATTTAAGGCTTTGCAGGCCATATGGTTTCTCCCGTAACTGCTGCTATGCTATGACAAAAGCAGTTACAGACAGCATGTACATGAATGAGCATAGCTTATACACCAATAAAACTTTGTTTATGGATACCAAAATTGAAATGTCAATATAATTTTCATAAGTCACAAAATATTCGTTTTTATTTTTTATAGAAATCTATAGCATTAGAAAATGTAAAAACCATCCTTAACTCTTGGACTGTTCAAAAATCAGGCAGTGGACTGGATTTGGCCAGTGAGCTATAGTTTGCCAACTCCCATTATTTTCCATCGAGGAACAGAATTTGCTAATAAACCCATTCCTGTCCAACATGTACTTTATCAACACTATAATTATTTAAGAAGGAAAGTCTTACCTGGTGGCATAAGTTTCATAAGTACTCTTGCTCCATCTCTAAGAGGTGGCATATTTAAGCTGCTACCCAAGTCTGCAACTTGCCAAAGGAAAGAGATGTATCTGGGATTCAGTGACATTATCTAGAATACAAAATACACGAAATGTTTATCTGTAAATTACACCTCCACAAAGGAATCCCCAAATAAATGTTTGTTAATCTCCATACTGTTGCTTCTGTCATTTCTATCCTGAAATGGTCGGCCTACACCATCTTCTCACCTTTAGAAATCCTTCATAGTGTAGACTGAATATATTATCCAAGCCACCTCTAGTACTTTGTGTCCGACAGCTTTTTAACTATTTTGTTAAACTATTCCCATTATTCATACAAGTCAGGTTCTGTATAAACAAACAGCTGCCATGCCCCACCAACAGTTAAATTCCTAATCCAACTGATAGAGAGAGCCAACTCTTCCGACACTAGAGTGGCTGGTATTATTGTAGCCATTAAAATTTTTGTGGGGAGGTAAGGGAGGGAGAAGTTACTTTAGAAACAAAAATACATTACTGACGATCTGAGAAAGACTGCGGGTATTTTCCTACAGAAACAGTTCTGAAGAATTCATTTTTTGTGACACAAATACAAAATACAGTGCTATTTTTCTCAGTGAACTTACAAGTTATAATTAAGTTGTATAATAGGCTAGTTTTATGTAAACATAATGACACTCCATCTATACAAAATGTGGTTTTTAAAATTTCAACCAAGTTACAATCACCTTTCAAGGGGATCCATTTGAAAGTTGATGATTAACTGTACAGTTGATATTTATTGCCACAATAAATTGTAAGCTCAAAAAAAAAAAAACCAAAACACTATTCTATACATGTTCTTCTTAAATAATCCAGCATGCTGCCTTGCATACAGTAGTTCAAAACTATCTACTCACCACCCCAGGCAAACAGCTTTCCACTTCTGGATTGGGACCATCACTGTAATGATTACCATGGTTTCCAGGAGACCCAGTTGAGGAATCAGAAGAGCTATCAGGGCTTGAAGGCATATTGGAACTGATCTGTGTAAGTTTGGCTGTAATTAGCTAAAAATGATATACTAAGTTAGTATCAAAGACAAGGAAAAATACACAAAACAGTAGTGATACACCAATCAAAACAAAAAACGACACACTATCTTTTTAGAAATATAGATTATAACTATTGTCTAACTTAATCACTTAAACAGTTTTGTTTTTAGAAATCTTTTCCTCTGCTCTATTGTAGGTACCAATATGCCTATCTCAGTGTTATAGTAATTCAAACACCTAATACAGTCACACATATAATGGATGCTCCATCAACATTTATTGATTAAAATGCTGACTACTAAACTGAGAGTCCCAGGCTTGATTTTCTTGAAAAATTTGGTAATTATACTTACCGACTTATCTTTTAAGTTTAATTGTCCGATCAACTTTCTATCATCTGCAGGATCTATCAGTTCACCACCCACAAAGAGCTCAATTTTTGTATGAGCTACATTGGCTTTGATACGATTGAGAATACATCGTCGTACTGAACCGATTGTATCATTTGTATGAGACCATACATCCAAGTCATCAACCTGTCTGCCTTGGTTTGGAAATCGAACTATAAAAGAGAGATGTTTACCACGGAAAGCTCTGGGGAAATAAAAAGGGAAAACATCGTTCAGCAGGCTTTCAAATTTCTTGCTAAGAAAATAAAGTTAGGAATTTAAAATGGAATATTTTCTTACTAAACAAGAGAAAATGAGTTAAAGACATATTATTTTTGTGTGCTGTGCTTAGTTGCTTAGTCATGTCCAACTCTTTGCAACCCAATGGACTGTAACGTGCCAGGCTCCTCTGTCCATGGGGATTCTCCAGGAAAGAATACTCCAGTGGGCTGCCATGCCCTCCTCCAGGGGATCTTCCCAACCCAGGGACTGAACCCAGGTCTCCCACGTTGCAGGAGGATTCTTTACCATCTGAGCCACCAGGGAAGCCCAGATTTTTAGGATCTTAAAACAAGTACTGCTCCTTCCAACTACAAATGTTATAAGTAATCTTCAAAACACAAAAATCATAGTTGTTACTCTTGTACCTAGTTTGTAGGTATCTAGTTACAAGACATTATAACAGAGACATGAGTAACATTTCACTAATTTTTATGCTATAAAAGCTGATCAAAACTCATCCCCTCAATGATATTTATGTTGGCATATTATCTTCTGCAGGTAAGAAGCAAAAAAATAAACATAATCAAGGAGCAATTTAAATAATTTCATGGTCAAAAACAGAACTCTTAAATACTAATGGCTCATATTCGATAAATATTTCTAAATTATACATATTATTTGAAACTACTAAATGGTAAAATCTTAAGAGAAATATTAATAGACCCAAAGATGAGTGAATTAGGTAAGGGGAATTTTAACAGGCATAAATTCCCAGTTACAAAATAAAAGAGTCACAGGACAGGTAGTAACTAGGCTTATCATGGTGATCGCTCTGTAATGAAATATTCAACCACTATGTTGTATACCAGGAATTAACATAGTACTGTAGGTCAATTATACCTCAAGATCAAATAAACTCATAGAAAAAGAGATCCGACTTATGATCAGCAGGCAGGGGGAAGGACAGGGAGTGAGGAATTGAATAAAGGTGATTAAAAGGTATAAACTTCCAGTTATAACTAAGTACTAGAGATGTAGTGTTCAACATGATTAACATAATGCTGTTATATATGAAAGCTGTTAAGAGAATAAATCCTGACAGTTCTTGGCACAAAGGAAGAGTAATTTTTTTTCTTTTCTATCTATATCAGATGATGAATGTTCACTAAACTTATTACTGTATGTCTATTATATCTCAATAAAATTGGGTGAAAAAAGAAACGTTAGTAATCATTTGAAAATATTTCTTACTATATTGGCTATCTGTCAAAGCAGCCTATTTTAAGAGTTCTTTCTAATTAACTCTGCAATCAGACTGTATTATTATTTTCAAAAGTGGAAATGAATGGTGTCAAAACACCTCAACTGCAAAATATCCCTGGCAACATTTAATGAGCAATAAAGTCAATGGCAAAAACAAAAACAAAACACCAAACAACCCTCCCCCCACAGAATGAAAAGAAACCAGACTTAATTTGAATGCCCTAAACAAAAACCAACAAAAAACAGATCCAGAAAACAAACAAAAATGGTCTACTATTAAAAAAAGATTCTGTAAGATACAAATACTGTTCTTAAGGAAGATGCTAAACATTTTCAAAAATGAAAAATTTCCTCTCCTTCTTCCTATACATCACTTTTTAGAATCTAATGGCTAGGAGACTGTCAAATAATTAAGGAGCAGCACAGTAGATCAGTTACAAACCTTGACATAGGTAGAATTGTTCTTTCCTCATGATAATCACTGTCACATTCATTTATATATTCCCTTAATACAGTTAATACTCGAACCATTCGAACAGCTTCCTGTCTTGCACAATTAATACTGTCTTTGTCACCATCCAAAACACATAAAGTGTCATAGGAGGCTTTCAAACGATCAAAGCAAGACTGAATGAAGTCTTCATGGATAACCACCTACAAATAATGGGCCAAATAAAGACAGTTCAAGTTTTCTATAATTAAAGATGGGAACAATTAAGTTAAAGGTAAATCTCATTTAACCATAATCACATTTAACAAGAGGTTATACATATAATAAAACACACTATCTTTGAAAACAGACTTGTGGTTGCCAAGAGGGGGAGAGGTTAGGGGAGGGAAGGATTGGGATTAAAGACGTAAACTATTATATATGGAATGGATAAACAACAAGGTCCTACTGCATAGCACAGGGAAATATATTCAATATCTTGTGATAAACCATAATGGAAAAGAATATGAAAAAGACATATTGTATATATGTATAACTGAGTCACTTTGCTGCACAGCAGAAATTAACAAAACATTGTAAATTAACTCCACTTTAATAAAATAAAAACAACAACAAACACTCATTATGTTTTGTCAAAGAAAGCTAAGGTTAAGAGTTCTTCAATCAGAATTCAAACTTGTGAAAACTTTAATACATGTTAATCCTCACCTGATTGACCTGTAGCCTTGGACCAAGGTTTGTGTATATCTCTTTAAGGAGATCTATAGCTCGGCTGGCAATATCATCATTACTCTGAATCACCACCTAGATTCAAAAAGATTCAAGTGTAAGTATCTTTCAAGAAATATTTTAGTTGGCCATTTCCATTCAAACCATACCTTCAGTATTTTTAATACAGCATTCAATAATTTAAAAAGAAATATCAACTTGTAATAATCAAATAAAATTAAAGTGAGAGAACAGACCAAAACTGTAACAAAAGCAAAACTCAAGTATTTGTATAAATCAAGTTAAGAAAGGAAGACACATTTCACTAAGAATAAAATATGCTGTCATTAGTATCATTTACTCCTGCAATTCAACACCTTGGTAACCAAGCAGCGGGCTTCCCTGGTGCTGCGTTTAGTTGCTCAGTTGTGTCCGATTAGTTGCTCAGTTGTGTCCGACTCTGTGACCCTATGGGCTGTAGTCCACCAGGCTCCTCTGTCCATAGGGATTTTCCAGGCAAGAATACTGGAGAGGGTTGCCATGCCCTTCTCCAGTGGATCCTCCCAATGCAGGGATCGAACCCAAGTCTCCCGCATTGCAGGCAGATTCTTTACCATCTGAGACACCAGGGTGGCCCAAGAATACTGGAGTGGGTAGTCTATCCCTTTCTCCAGGGGATCTTCCTGACCCAGGAATTGAACTGGGGTCTCCTGCATTGGCAGGTGAGCCACCAGGGAAGCCCCGCCTGCCAATGCAGGAGATGCAAGTTGGATCCCTGGGTCAGGAAGATCCCCTGGAGAAGGAAATGCTAACCCACTCCAGTATTCTTACCTGGGAAATCCCATGGACAGAGGAGTCTAGAGGGCTATGCTCCATGGGGTCGCAAAAGAGTTGGACACAACTCAGTGACTAAACAACAACAACCAAGTAGTGAGATATTAAAGAAGGAATTTAAATTAGTTAAAGGAAATCAAGATTACATGAAATACAGCTTAGCATAAAAGGCTACCCACCCCATTACTATAGATCTTTATCATCTAATCATATCAGTGGTTTTCAAACTATGTATAGAACTCTACGAGTGATGAAGAATGTTAGGGATGAACCATGTAATAGGCATGGGAAGGGGAAGCGAGTAAAGCACAGGGAGACTGAGTCACAAGAAAAAAACAAACAGGCTTTCTTTTCTCACTTCAACTAGTTTTACATTTTGAAGTGTTATGTAAACTTTGATTTTTTAAAATGGTTTCTGCTGTTTAAAAATGAAAACCACTTAAAGTGTGAATAATCAAATACTAAAATAAACAACTTAGTCAGTCTATGGTTTGCAGAAACACATTTCATATCCAGAAAACAATGTAAACTGCTGCAAATAGGTCAGATTTTTAAAGATATTTAAAGATGGGACTAATAATTAATAACTACAAAATGGATGGAACCTGAGGGCATTATGCTAAGTGAAGTAAGTCAGAGAGAGAAATACTGTATGATCTCACTTATATATGGAATCTAAAAATCAAAGAAACAAAAAAATAAATAAATAAATAAAAAGCAAAGAAACACAAACAAAAAATTGAACTCATAGATACAGAGAATAGATTGGTGTTTGCCAAATGAGTGAAGGGGCTCAAAGTAACATATAGCATGGTGCTATATTTAATAATACTGTACTGTATATTTGAAAGAGTGAATAGTAAGGCAATAAATTTTTCTTTTTGACCACGCCACACAGCTTGTGGGATCTTAGTTCCCTGCCCAGGGACTGAATCCAGACCCTGGCAGTGAAAGCAGAGCTCTAGCCACTGGACCACCAGGGAAGTCCCAAGTAAATCTTAAAAGTTCTCACTATGAGAAAAAAAAAAAAACTCATGACAATAGATTGTGATCATTCTGTAATAGGTACACATCAAATCATTATGTTGTACACCTGTAACTAATATGGTGTTGTATGTCAATTATAACTACTAAAAAATATATATAATATTGCAAGTTAAAATAGTGCTGATAAAGTATACATCCATAAGCCTCTCTAAATAAAGTCTTCTTTTCTGTCTTCTATATTAGCATTAAGTGCATAATAAGCTAAAATTAATACTGAAAAGAAACAGAGGTCTACATTAAATTAAGAAAGGGAAGAAAATATCTTTCATGGAGAGGCATGAGAGATTTCTATGGTTAGTGCACTTCTAAACGCATCGGGGGCAGACAGATTCTAAGCCAAGAGAAAAGGAATATCAGTGGCAGACAGGTGACAGGGAGGTGGAGGGAGAGTGATATGAAAAAGTCCAATGACAAATGATATAGTAAGATAAAGATGAGCTATCACTAGCTCCTAGGACAAGCATCAGAGCAGCATATATACATGTAATTTATACGTAAAATTGTGATTTCTTATCTATTTGAAAAAACTATATCACATACACTGTTTATCAAGTTCCTACTTCTCACTTACCCTCCAAAGGTAGTCTAATCCAATTAGTTCCAAATCATCCATCATATATGCTCTCCTTTTGGCTACCAGTTTTCCTTCCCGACAATTCACAGCTTTGAAGAATCGTTCAAAACATTTCATCCCATTTTCAGTCAATAAGGATGGATCAAGCTGAAGTACATTGCTTTCAAAGAAGTCCTTATTAATATCAGGATCCAAGTCTGGTTCATCCCCCATCAACTTGGAATACCACTTAAAACAGGCTTCGCGATCACAAAGGTAAACTGCATTCTCTGCTAAGCATTTCCATATTTGTTTTGCCTGAGGAGCGCATAGCCACAGTTGGCCATCCTTTAATAAAAATCTTGAAAAACATAAAATTAGCAATTAGATCTACATAATTTTTTATTCTGAAAGGCAATCTATTTGTATATATGGGAAATAACCCACTTATCACAACTATATTTTAACTACAGGTAAAAGGATGTCAGTTCTTATCAGCATCTTAAAATAATTCATTTAATTTTTATCTATTACTAAAAAATACTAGGTATTCATTCAGCAAGCACATATTAAGCATCTACAACGTGCCAAGAACTCTGCTACATCATTGGACCTAAACTAGGGAAAAAAAAAACCTTTGTACACCTGAAAACACTGTAAATAAACTATATTTCAATAAAAACAAAAGGATATACAGTGGGAGAAAAAAAAAGATTTGTTCCCTGATTTGATCTCTGAAATCAGCCAATTTTGAAAGTATATTTAACAGGTTATCTGAGTTTTAGCATTCTGCTTATATGGTATCACTGGACAAAGAGGTATTCTATGACTTTCACAGATAAATCATAACACTGAAGAGTTAAAATTCCTTAAATTTTAACATCTGCTGATGATCTAACAGTCATCACTCAGCACTTGGCCACACTGAACTGAGTAACCTACATATGTCTTAAACTTTTTAATGTAAAAATTCAACAGGATGCTTATCAACTATTCAATGGCATTCTCAGGGGTCTTTCTAGTTTGAGGACTATAGGTTTAGTTAAAGACAATAAAGGTGAACTCTGTTTCACCTAGTTTCCTCAGTTAGCTTTCTTTTTCTTTTAGCATTCATCCACCCACCCTGTCTGCCGTATCTCTGAATGACAGAATGAATTATCTCATTTTATTCTGAAAAACTTAACACAGTTTTTAGCTAATCTAATGGTATCTCTTTACCCAATTACAGAGTAGGGTGAATGTATTTAAGGTTCCCTTTTCATTTCAAAGCATTTTGAGTTATTAATTCTAGTGTCTTTGGTATTTTCATAAGATTGTTGACCTTAAAGAGGGCTTTCTAGTACCTGTCCTACTTAACCCTGTCATCCTGTCTATAATTTACAGATAGGAAACTGAGGTCCAATGTGATAAAATACAACTGTTTTCATTTTCGGGTTGTGTGTGTGTGTCCTTTTTTTTTTTTTTTTTGCTTTCTTTAAGCAAAAATTCCATTTGGAAGGGCACTGTATAAAAAATAAAAGAGCTGCTCCAACTGTTGGGAAGGAGCAAAGTGAGAAAGGGAGATAAAACTTCTACTGCTTGTCCAGAAATCTTGGAGGAAGCTCCTCAGAAGCCCTAAGGCTCCAAAGTAGGTTTGAAAAATCACTTGTCTAATAGAAAGAGCAAAGACTGAAGTCGGATACACCTAGTTGAGTAGTGTAACTAACTATATACCGGGGCTGTGTGATTCCAAACATAGCTTTAAGCCATGTAAATCTCAGTTTCCATGTTAATCAAATGGGGATAATACCTGTCTCCCTGTGCTGCTATGAGGTTTAAATGTAAAGTGAAAAAAAATAAATAAATGTAAAGTGAGGAAAGTTCAGTTCCTGCGCCTTCAGAGAACTGATGTAGGTCATACAGATAAGTATTATAGAGCAGGGACTAAAACAGGTTCTCTGATCCCAAACTTTAATTTAGCAAAAGAGCTTATAATCACTCTTCTGTTCTAGGCAATCTAAAGGATACAACACACACCAATCAATAGCAATGACTTAACTATGGCAATGATTCTCAATCTGGGGAGGAAGGTCCTTTCATTCAGATGGTTGAAAAACCACACCCACACCCACCCCCCCCCACCCCCCTACAACTCACAGAACCATTTTGCTTTAAACAAAGGCCAATTTCTTAAACTCTGGTGTCTAGACTTTACCCTCAAGTTAAAATCTTAATGTAACTACTTATGCAAATATTTCCAAGTAAGCATGTAATTCAATAAACATAAGCCTATAATTAATGCAGTCCAGGAGAAAATTCCCCAGTGTATCAAAATAATACATGCAATAGATTTTCTGAAGCACTGATCATTTGGGCATTTCCCTTAGCGTGCTTATGATCTGAAAATATATGGTGGGGTTTCTGAATTGCAAGAAACCTCTCATCATCAAAATTTTTTAACAATTTAAAATATGTAAGTGTATAATCATTAAAAGCTAATCACTGAGTATATCAAACCCTGGACTACATTGAGCTTTGGCTTACAGGAATAAGGGGCTTCCCTGGTGGCTCAGCTGGTAAAGCATCTGCCTGCAATGTGGAAGACCTGGATTCAATCCCTGGGTTGGGAAGATCCCCTGGAGAAGGAAGCGGCACTCCAGCATTATGGCCTGGAGAATTCTATGGACTATTCCCATGGAGTCGCAAAGAGTCGGACACAACTGAGCGACTTTTCACGCCCTCACTCACTCACTATGGGAATAAATCTTTCTCCATCCCCAACAGAATGTTATTAACACATGATTTCAGACTGCCTTTGTCAGCCACTGTTAGGATAAACAAAGCACCAGAGAACTCAAACCACTCTTTTAGGGTACTGGTCACACAGACTTTTGTCCCCATTTCCTTAATATGGTTCTCCAGCTGGCTGTGTCAAATATGGAAATTTGTTCTTTAAAAACTAAATATATTCTCAATATAAACACATATGAAGACCAGAAGTCTATACAAAAGGTTTAAATATGTTCTTTTCCAATACTGCAAAGAAGAAAAGTTAAAACCCAGTCAATAATTTAAAAATATTTAATCATGAACACTCAGGGAAATGTCCTGTGACTTTCACGTAGGGATTTCCAGATTGGAAAAATCAAAGGTGACAAGAGTCACCTGACCAAGACCTAGCCATACAGCATATCAACTTGACATTCTTTATCTGTATCTTAGAGAGCAACACTAATTGTTTAAAACAAACCTAAGGAAGTTAAGCCGTTCTTGGACTTCTTGAACATGACTGTATCTACTTCCCAGCCTCACAGTTTGTGGGTCATAGTCTTCATGGTCTGCAAATTAAGAAAAATTGTGCATTACACACATGGTTACCCATATCATTGCTGACTTCATCGAAGGAAAACAAGTCAGTTAAAAGATCGTTAATTCTTTATCACTAAAGGCAACTTGAAATTTACTTATTAGTCATAGTTTCTATCCATCTCCTTTTTTCCCAACCAGAATAATCTTCCCTTTTCTTCTAACCAAAAGAAAATGGTCTGTTAAATGTGTCGTCAAAAATAATTCTTCATACAACCCTGTCTGATTTTCATACATAATGAAGTAATGTCTGATTATAGCGTAAGACTGACCTGAATGGTCTATGAACTGACCACCAAGACAAACTTTTTTCTCTAATTTCCTTTCTGTTATATTGAAATGTCTTCATGGAAAAAAAAATATAGTTATAAAAAATTATATTACTAACTTCCATCGGACATTAGAGTGACACAAGATGCTTCTCTATATAATGAAGTTATCATACCGTAATTATCATTAGCATGTTGTTATGAAAGTCTTAGATAAATTTAAGAAAACCTACCCTTCTATCATGAGTATGAGTAGATACTGGTCACAAGGTCTAGCTTAAATGGGAAATTCTTAAACAAAAAACTTAAAAAAAAAAGTCAGTAAACCGTTTGATTTTACTTTCATTTAAATATATCATACAGTGGGGGGAAAAAAAAAAGAGCCTTGGTGTTTGCAATGGAAGAGCAAAAAAAAAAAAAAAAATCTTTAAAAGCACCTCCAGTCCTAAAACACCACTGAGAAAAGGATTCCTGGTAATGAAAGCTGTGTTGTTAAGTCCCACATTCTGATTACAGAGAGCATGCCAGTGCTGATGGTGGGGTAATGAATATAGCTTCCAACTCGGCAACCACCTAGATACTTAAAACAGAGGTAGCCTGAAAGCTTGGCTCATTGCATCAATGTAAACATCGGGAACACTCTACAACAGAGCTTCCTAGCCCATAAAAATGGATCCCAGGCTTTGGCCCAGCAGTGTGAAATGAGGATACAGTCAATCTTCCACAAGGCAGCGCTTCCTCAAGAAAACAAACTTCACTGGGCAAGTTAACCTGATGTTAAATCTTCTGAAAGTGCCTTCTAGTATCTGTTGGCCACTGACATCGGTATTGCCAGCATAAACAACATAAACTGCTTCGGGATACCTACTTTTCCTGCAGAGCCCTTAAGGCACACCGTAACATTCTTTCCCTTCCTCCACCAGCATTGCAGTATGGATGAAAAACGCAATCACCGTTTGATTTTTTCCAGTTTTGCTAGATGACACAGACTTTTTCTCTGTAGCAGCACTCGGACTCCCCAAAGGACAGTAAGTAAACACACACATAAAGTTCCACATGCAATTAGCCCAGGGAAGAATAATGAATTAAAAAACCTGAATTCTGGAGAGAATACATATACACTGCTATTGAGGATGCTTTCGTATTAATGATAAATTTTCAACCTCAACTCGCACAAGCACCAACCCCTTTCGGTGGCCGCCATCTTTCACTGACCCTTGAACTCGGGAAGCTCTTCGTTGTTCCTCTTCTCTATTGGCTCCTGATGGGTTATGTCTTAATTGCTGGGTTGTAAGATACTAGTCCCTTGTGAGATGTATGGTTTGCAGGTATTTTCTCCCTTTCTCAGGTTGTCATTTTACTTTAAACTGTAGCAGTTAAATGTATGATATAGTCCAATCACTGTTTTTTATCCTTACAATTTTCCTTTGCCTAACTCAAGATCACAAAGATTTATTTGTATGTTGTTTTGTTTCAGCTGAACCTTGAACACCACAGGGGTAAAGCCAAGTATAACAAATTCAGCAAACTGCAATCACAGTTTCTCTGCATACACAGATTAAACCAACCATGGACCATTCAGTACTGTAGTGTTTACTACTGAAAAATATTCATGTATAACTGGACTTTCACAGTTCAAATGAGATTTTCAAAAGCCAACTGTACTTTATCTATTGTAAATGGAACTATTTTGATTTCATTTTCAGAATGTTCATTGCCAGTGTATAGAAATACAACTTTTGTATACTGCTCTTAATCCCTGCAATCTATGGGAACTCATTTATTATTAATTTTAATAGATTTTAGCAGATTCTTTAGAATTTTTTGCATATGTGTTATCTAAGATTAGACACTGTTTCTTTTCCAATATGGATGCTTTTTCTTTTTCATGTCTAGTTAATTTCACTAGCATCTCCAGGAGAATGTTAAACAGAAGCGACTAGAGTGGAAATCCTTCTCATTCCTGTTCCCGCGAGGGAAGTAGTCAGCCTTTCACTGTTAAGTATGATGCTAGCTGTAGCTTTTTTAAGATGTGCTTTAGCAGGTTGAGGAAATTTCCTTCTAGTCCAGGTCTGCTGAATGTTTTTATAATGAAAGGTGTTGGGCTTTGTCAAATGCTTTTTCTGCATCTACTGAGATAACCTCATAGTTTTGGCCCTTTATTCTATTAACAAATGACTTTGGAGTGTCAAATCAACATTGTATTCCAGGGACACACTGATTATCTTTCTTATACGTTGTTAAGGCTCTGTTTGCTTGTTTTTTGAGAACTTTTAACTATATTCACAAGTCTTTGTATTATTTTGGTATCAGAGTAACAGTGGCTTCATAGAATGAGCCTGGAAGTGCTCCTCTTTGTTTTATTTCTTTGGCTGTGTTGGGTCTTACTTGTAGTATACAGGATCTTCGTTGTCATGTTGGATCTTTCTTTGCAGAGCATGGACTCTGTAGTTGTGGCGTGGGGGCTTAATTGCTCTGAGGCATGTGGGATCTAAGTGCACTGCAAGATGGACTCTTAACCACTGGACCACCAGGGAAGCCCCAGTTCCTCTATCTTTTTGAAAGAATTGGTTTAATTCTAGTGTTAATTGTTCTTTAAATACCCAGTAAATTCACTAATGAAGCCACCTGGTTCTGGGCTTTTCTTTGTGGGAAGTTTTTTGATTACTAATTCAATCCTTTTACATGTTATACACCTATTCAGATTTTCATTTGCTTCTTGAGTCAATTTCAGTAATTTGGCATTCTCTTATTTTTCTTATTTTCGTAAGGTTAGCAGTGATATCTTCTTTTTTACTTTCCCAACTGAGCCTAGAGGTTTGTGAATTTTGCTGATCTTTTTGAAGAACGATAATTGATTTTTCTCTTCTCTATTTCACTTATCGTCACTCTAATCTTTATTAATTTCTTTCTGTTTTCAGGTTAGTTTTCTCTCTCCCACGTTTTGAAGGTGAAATGTTACTGATTTGCTATCTTTCTTCTTTAATGTAAGAACTCAGCAGTATAAATTTCCTCTAAGCACTGATTTAGGAACATTCCACTAGTTTTTATATTTCACGTTTTTTTCCCATTCATTTCAGCATATTCTCATTTCACTTGTCATTTCATCTTTGACCCACTAGGTTAGTAATGAATGCATTCTTTTGACACACTTGTGAAATTCCCAGATTTACTTTTTAATTTATAATTTAATTTCACTGTGGACCAAAAAAGACCCTACTTTGTATAATTTCAACACTTTTAAGGTTAGTAAGGCTTGCTTATGGCCTAGAGTATGGTCTGTCCTGCAGAATCCTGTGTATATGTGAGAATATACATTCTGATGTTTTTTGGGTGGCTCTGAATTACTGTCTGCTGTCACTTGCTTTCAGTAATTACTTCCTTTAGTATTTCTTCTCAGGCAAGTTGGCTAACAACATATTATCCCACTGTTTGAGAATGTCTTTACTTTTCATTTTTGAAAGACAGTTTTGCTGAATTAAGGTTCTTAGTGTCCCTCCCTCTGCCCCTGGCACTTTGAATATGTGGTCCTATTGCCTTCAATGTTCTGATAACTCAGTTGTTAATTTTAGTGGGGTTTCCTCATCTATGAGGACGTAATTGAAAGTGGCAGCCCTGAGAAGACAGAATGCAAAACTGTGATCTACAGTAAAGACAAGTCCTCCAACTCTATCCAGAAACCAAGGAAAAAAGGTAAATAAAACCTTTACAAGTGTTCAAGTCATTACAGTCTATCCTACCAATAAGGTAAAACTTAAGTAAAAACTGAAAGATGGTTTTATATTGTGTTGTATATGCACATGAAAAACTTTTAAAGAATAACTTGGTAAACACCAAGACAGTAAGAATAAGAACACGAGTAAATACTGAAGATAATTTTAGTTATAAATAATGCTAAAACAGGAGGTAGAATCAGTTGACTGTACTATTGAGGAAGTGGGGTTTTTTCCTCCCCATAGCTTAAGATACTAGTAGAGATGAAACATGGGCAGGACAAATACTTAATATTGGTGGAATACTTATCAGAAACTAAGAATATCAGTAAACTAGAAGCCTGATATTATCCTACTGAATAATGTCTCATACCTAATGGGATCCATGCAACACTTTTATTATGTAGAGGCTAAAAGAAATTTATTTTAGAATTACAGACTTGGAAATTAGTGACTGATGGTATCATCAACCACCAATTTCTAAATGCTGTGAAAAGCCTATTTTAATAGGAGAATTTTACTAGCTGGTGACTGATCAGTATTAATCAGAAGAGTACTATAATATAGGAAGAAAAGGTATATCAAAGGTTAGGACAAACAAGGTATGGTTCCAATAAACTCAGGGGAACATAGCAACAAAAATTCAAGGGCTTACTATGTGCCAGGCATTATTCTAGCATAAATAACTTGTTCAAGGTCATACACCTAATACGTTAGGTCATGTTTCAAATCCAGGCAATCTGTGCAGATTCACAGCTCTTACTTTATGAAGATACAGATAATATAAGAAGGGGAAACTGAAGCCTGAAGATGTTAAGTCCATGCAACTGAGATGAAGCAAAGACTCATGTAGAATTTGACTACAAAGGAGCAGAAAATTGGAGTGAGGCTGAATTGCATGTGCATCATCTCCTGATAGCCTTTATAGCAGGGGTCTCAACCTGTGCCAATGAAATTAAATGAAATACCATATGCAAATAAAGTATATAAAAATTAGTAATGGAATCATGTGATTTATATTAAGGCTTCATTGTGGGAAGGCCTGTATTAGCCTCTGTTGAGGGCATTAAACCAAAAAGAGGAGGTGACATCATACTGAAGAATCAATTACATTAAACTAAGCTTATACCTCTCTCAGATTTTGTTTGACATATGCAAACATGTCCCAAATGTTGGCTGCATTCATATACTGCCATGATTATTCCAGCATGCTACTCAGAAGGAACTAAGGAATGAAATGATAAAAGATCACTGCCTGGTGCCTATCAGTTGCCTGATGCTTAGATTGCTTATGCTCAGAGTGGTAAATGGAAGACAGTCAACAAAATCAGCTCAGGTATCTGAGAGCTGCTTCATTTTTCAATTATGTTTATCTGAATTTTATATGGGAATGTATGTATGTACCTGAAGTGTTAAGGAAAAATATCCTTAATGTTTAAGAGCCTTCGTTGGAATTTTATTCAACAATGCCAACAGACTAAATCTTCAAATAATGAGGTATGAGAAATATCCTCATTTTTAGTACATATATTGGCTTCTGCAGACTCTAACCTGTTAAAAGGAGTGGTATGTTCAATATCCATTTTGTTAATTCTATCTCTCTGGTAATATAAAGTTTTCTTTCTGTGCCTATGGGGACCAACTTCAACCTACAAGAAAGTTTGGGGGTTTATTATGGAGCCTATGAATTTGGTGTAAGACAGAGGAATATGTACCAACAACCCATCTGCACTCTAGCACACACACTCAGACACAATTGTCAGAGGGCAAAAACACACTGAAACAGAGCTCCATATATGGCAGGTGCTTAAAAACTGACTGTTGACGCCACAGATATCTCTACCAGAACATGTTAAAACAAATTCACACTTTGAAATCCAATGTAAATATGTGGACTCTAGTAGTCTCGGATCTCATAAACTTTCTTTTTTTTTTTTCGGATCTCATAAACTTTCAATTCATAAAGTCTGAAGAACTTATGAAACACAGACTTAGGATTACAAAAGAACTATGGTATTTGCAAGAACAGACTTTGACAAAAGTTTTCTTAAAAAGATAAAGGTGGTGGTAGGAAGGAAACAAAGGATGGAAGTGAGTCAGGTACATACCTAGAAAGGTAACAACCAATTGTAGTATAGGCAGGCAGAGCTCCCAGGCAGAGAAGAAAAAGAAATCAATTTAAGAAGGAGAGTAAGAAAGGCAAGCACTTAGTAAAGAGCCTTGAACTGCTGGCCTGGAGTTTAGGGTGTGTAAGATAAGAAGTAAAAGAAGATCACAAGCTCATAAAGGATCACAAGTTATAAAACCTTGCATTTTAAAAAATATATCTGTTGTCACTTCTATGGTAACTGATTTAAAAAAACTGGGAAGGGAAACTGCTGTGATTTCCCATAGCTCATGTTAGATTACAATACATACCTCTAGCATATAGCCTCATGCTTTCCATGTAAGTTGCAAGGTTTTCTGCTACCAAAGTAACTAGGGCATGATTGTGCTGAAGTTGATTGATTAAGTCATGGCGATAGAATACATGGGGACTTCGCTGAGTTTGACTGAAACGAGAAGAACTTAACAATATAATTAGGCAATTAAACTCTGCTGTAATCAAAAGAGTTTATACAATTCTAAATTCTTAGCTCCTAATTTAAAAACTTAAAATGGTTTCCTTCGTAACAGAATTAACTTGACCATTTACTTTAATGATAATATTAAGCAATTTAAAAGAAAATAATCAATGCCTCAAACATAAGACATTAATTCCATTATTCTTACTTTATAGAAAAACTACGCATTAATATTTTCCAATTCACACCATGGGAAAAAATCAATGACTGATGTCTTTTTCTATACTATATATAGTAGTACCAAGGTGCTTCTAAGTTTACATGATTATTATCAGAGTTATAAAACAGAAACATTTCTTGTAACATTAGCACCATGAAGATTTATGTTGTAATTGTAGTGGAGGATTTAATCAAAGAAAGGGCTTTCATTAAAATTTTATTAGCCAAAGTACAGAATTATCTCTTATTTCTAGCAAATACGCCAATATACTTTCAGTGGCATGTTTTTTATCTATTAATGTCATTCCTCATTTCATTTTATCTCTCCTGCTTTGTTTCCCTTTCCACCAGTATCTACGCTAATCCGTTAATTTTTCTTACAAATGTTATCTTCCCATGATCGGTTTACTCTGAAATAGTTAATGTTTTATTGACTTTGAAATGTCATACTACATTAAGTCTTCACAGTAAAATAAATCTACTGGTTTTTTAAATAGCTAATTTTTAAAGTTAATTTCAAATATTAGATTGCATGTATGTTTAAAAGATGAAAGATGACAAGGTATAGTTTGAAAATACCTTTTCTGATTTTTTTTAGCTAAATTTCTGTTAAATAGCCAACTTTAAATATCTTACATGCCAAACTTTAGTTACTGAAATAATTTGTTCTTTAACTTTCTGGTTATATGAGTTGGAACAGATAACATGAAGGCAATATTATCACCTCTATTCTGATACTTATCACTAAATTCTGTCTTCTTCATCAATAAAATCAAAGAGGTAGATGTGATAAAGGAATCCTCTTTTTGAATTTAGTGTGTAAGCTTCCTGTCATCCTACTCTAGTTTTCTTTTTAAAATCTGCTTTCACCAAACAATGTTTCTTTTCAGTAAAATATGTAATTAAAAATATTGAAATTTTCTGATAAGTCTTACCTTAAATTCTGAGGTGCTTCACCAAACAAACTACAAATTTCTCTAATTTGTTTCAGTGCAGGAATTACCCATTTGTCATTTGTGCGAAGCTCTTCTATAAAGCGATCTATCCACTGTATCTTCTGTGTGTCACGGTCCTTAAGAAACAATTTCAGTGTTTTATATAGGTCAATACTCAGAAGAATTCTACCTCCAAAATAGTTTGAGAATTACCAAATAGAGAGCTCTTCTTGTAATACCAGCATCGTTGCAGTAAAGAATTTAATGATAAAAAAAGCTGCTTTAAATATGCTTTTATTCCACATATACTACCAAAACTCCTAAATACTATTATAAAAACTCAACAGGACATGGATTCACATATATCTACTGAAAGGTATTAAGCACACTGACAGAAAGTTTGATTTTAAAAGTTGCCAGGAGGTAGGCATTTAAGCTTTACCCAATGCTTTAAGAGATTCTACCATATAATAAAAATCCAGCAAGAACATGTAACTCCGATTGCTACTCTGTACGGGTTTGTTTTTAGCATAGAAAGAACACAGAAAATTTGTATTTTACCAAGGAAACAATGGTACAGCAACTGAGTGAAAAAAATTCACCAAAAATAAAAATAAGGACATCTCCACATACCCACAAGGAGAGAAAGAGAAACAGTGATAAGCAATTAAAAATTAATGTTATAAAATCAAAATTTCAAATATTTTTACTTCTCATACTTTGTTTACTTTACTCCTTCCCTGAGTCCATAGTAATCAGAAATGCAGGTTTGTGTACCTAAAAATTTAAGTTCGGATTACTTTTATTTTGTGTTTGTGTATTTAATGAAATAATTCAAACTTGATATACCAAATACTTAATGAACTCTCTCAAGTATAGGGAAAAAAACACCTACACCTGCTTGAACTTATTGGTTTTTATCTAAATTTCAGTTCTTCAGTATAGCAAAAAGTTTTAACAAGCAGGAAATTAGTTTTTCAGCAATATTCATTTTACCATGAATTAAAAGATACACATGCTACAAGTTAGAATGCAGGCAAGTTGTATAACTTGCTTACAGGGAAGGCACTAAATGTTTCAGTGTTTAGGAAATTCTATTAATTTTTCTTAACTTCCCTAAGAAGCAAAGAAAACCTAACTTCTCTTACCTTGGAAGTCCATAATTAGCTTTAGTATCATATGATCTACTTGAAACTGGTATTTAGCACCATGCATCTGACATTACCACAACTTTGTAACTTACTTATACTGTCTTTCTACCAAGAAGACTAAAATGTTTTCAGATGATGCAGAAAATTTAAGACATAAGAGACAGAGGAAGGCAGTGAACCATGTATGTCAATTCTTAAAGATCACTTCAAAAATGATGTCAGAAAAACCTAGAACTATTCTATACCTAAAAGCCATCCTCATCATGAAAGAGGAAGGTCACCGAAAGTGAGCAAGCCAGCACAGCCTCACCTGGGAGCAGCTGTAATCCAGTATTTTTATGTGGGCGCTAAGGGCCAGGTCCATGATATCTACAGGCACGTCGTCACTATGGGCCAGATTCCAGAGGAGGTTCAACACCTTGTGTGCCATCACACCGTCTTTGTCATCTTCTGCGAGACGACGTATCAGCTCAAGTAGCTTTTCTCGCTGCTTTTTACTCGCATTTGTCCAACTGGCCTAGAAAATAAATGGTAAACGATATGGCATCACCACCTATTTATTCACCACTGCTTAAAAGTGTCATCAGATAAACAATATTCATCAGAAAAACAACACAGCTGAGCACAGAATTATTCAAGTGGTATTTGAGCAGTAAGATACGATAGATTTAAACTCCAAGAAAAATAAAAAAAATTTCCATTTACAGTTAAATACCATAGATCGGGGTTTCTCAGTCTTGGTATTACCAACATTTTGGACTAGGAAAACTGTTGTGGGGGGCTGTCCTATGCACTATAGAAAGTTTAACAGCACCCCTGGCCTCTACCCCACTAGAAGTCAGTACCAACTCCTCCTTTTGTCTGTAACAACCAAAAATATCTCCAGGTATTGCCAAGTATCTCTGGGAAGCACAAGAGCCTCCTGCTGAAAACTAGTGCCTTAAACTCAGTCTGTCATTTGTACCTTTAAAATTATATTAAAAGATGTTAAAGACAACTTGATATACAAAAATATTCATAATAAATGAAAAAGCAATGTGCATTGCACACATTAAAAAAAAGTCTATAACAAACTGTTAATATCTAAGAAGTAGTTTCTAACTTACAGGCATGATACAATGCTATTTCAATTTACTAGATGATAGGCCACTCGTTTAAAAATTCTAAAATAGAAAAGAAACAAAACAACCACCCTCCCTAAACACCCAATTTATATAATGGTGTGTGTGTGTCTGTGTCTGTGCACTAGTGGCATGTAGTGGGTAGAAGCCAGGGACATTGCTAAACAACATGAGGAAACGTGTATGTATAAAGTTGGTAACTGGTTGTTTACTGGAAAATAAACTGAAAGCAACCAAATGGCAAATAGCAGGATGATTAAGTGATTACAGAGGACTCTTTCAATGGAATTATTATGCAGACATTAACACTGTGGTAAATACAGGATATCTTGAAGTCAACTGGAATGCATACTTCCAATTCCTCCAAACCCCTTAAAATTATGAAAGGAATATCAGAAAGCTGCTAAGAATATGACTGAAATATTAGATTATATTACAAATAAGAATATTTTAAAGCGACTAGCAAGCATAATGTGCCTCCTAAAGGAAGAGCACATCACCATCTACGATATATATTAGCAAAAGAACAATGAAAAAGCCTTTGTTTCATACTTTTCACAATCAATAATCAATCCAGTTTCAACAAATAATTTACAAGGAAAAACAAAAGACAATGGGGGAAACTATAGCTTCAAAGAGCCTTAAAAAACATTTGCAACCGATTACAAACTATGGAGCCTAATTCAAACAAACTTCAAAGTATAATCTGAGACAACTGGAAGTTTTATCACTATGTGACAATTAAGGAAGCATTAGTTTTTAGGTATGATAATGATATTGCAAAGTTTTTCTTCATGTACTCATCTCAAACAGATGTATACTAAAGTCATTAAATATGAAAAGGAGAAATTGATTAGGAACATTTGTTCATCCAAAGCCACCATATAGTTAAAAAAAAAAAAAAAAACAACCAACCACAATTTACAACACTTGAACTGATAAAAGACTAACATTCAAAATGTGTCAAGAATTTCTATGAATCAATAAAGGAAAGTATAAATAACTCAAAAGGGAAAAATGAGGCAAAAGACTTGAATAGGCTTCTCTCTCTCTCTCACATACACACTCACACACATACACATGAAGAATAGAAACATATGAAAAGAAGTTTAACTTCATTAGTGATCAAGGATATAAAAACCAATACCACAATGAGGTAACACTTCATACCAAGCGGACTATCAAAAATCCCTAATTCTGACAAAAACAAGCGCTGGCAAGGATGTGAAAATCTTGATGGGACTGTAAACTGGTATAAGCACTTTAAAGAACATAGACTTTAGAACTCAAACAATGAAAAAGTAGACCAGGTAAGTTGAATGTGTATACTGGTGCACATATGCATCAGTTCCTCTAGAGTATATATTCAGAAGTCAAACTGACTGTCATGAAAATCTTAACACTTTGCCAGAAACATCAAACTGTTTTCCTAAGGGGTTGCAAGAACTTATGTTCCCATCAGCAGTCAGTATAACTTATTTTTAACAAGATACCTTCATGATCTTACACCAGTTATTAACAGAATACCCCTTTGTGAACACTGCCATGGCGTCTTGTCTTCTTAATCCACAAATTCAGTCATCACTTGGCTTTTACAAACCCAATACTAGTAACTGGAGAGACCACTACACAATATGGCCTTAAAAAGTGCAGGAAGGCACTAATGCCGATATGCCCATAGGAGCTCTTGGGCTATACCTTATTAACTACAAGTCCACAAAGGCCATGAATTACATTTCCAGCTTGCCTGTGCATATCACCCTAGACTACCAGGACTATCCACAGCACGTAGTCCGTGCTGTTGACGATGTTTCATTGTAATCACTTATCTTTCCCTTCAGTCCTACAGAACCTATAATAAAAACACAAACTGCTAGGGGAAAGGAATCCAAATTGACCACCTGAGTTTAAAAAACAAGAAGAAGAAAAAAAAAAAAGGTTCTTTATTTATAAGGGCTATTATTATAAAAAGTGCTCACTGAAAAAGAAAACAATGGTCAATTCTGTTACACCAGAAATCATTTAATGATTTCTATTTAAGTATTTACTGGGTAAGAATCATTCATAGATCTAATGAACTAATTCTATTAAAAATAAAACTGTACTACTAAACTATGTTAACTATTACCTTAAAGCAATCAAAAAGATGATCAAGTTGCTCAGGAGAAAAATCCCATGCCAACTTTGCCAGTAGATCGTGTACATTCTTCACAATGGCTTCATGCTTCCCTGCCTATGGAAAAAAACAAACAAAATCAGAGCACACTAAAATCTCAACAGCAATAAATAGCACATACTGTCTATGAACACTATTAATTAATCAAGTGTTCCCATCTCCATCTAACTGTGTAACCTAAGAAAATTCCTAACATTTTAAATGCTTTAGAACAGCCATCTAAAACCTGACAGCTTGATTTCTTGATGGTTAAATGTAGATGGTTAATGTAGACTTTGGGAACTCATGTTAACTTTTAGTACAGTTTATTGAATTTAACATGCTAATTTTCACAATGCAAATAGGAAAATAATAAGGCACACCAGTGGTATTGTTTCAAAACTGGAACCAAAGACAAAACTGAACGTTTTCTCAGTTTCTGAAGACTAAATAAGGGCTTCCTTGGTAGGCTCAGTGGTAAAGAATCAGCCTGTAATGCAGTAGATGTGAGTTCAATCCCTGTGTTGGGAAGATGCCCTGGAGAAGGAAATGGCAACCCACTGTAGTATTCTTGCCTGGGAAATCCCATGCAAAGAGGAGCCTGGTGGGCTACAAGTCCATGGGGTTGCAAAAGAGTCGGACACAAGTGAGCGACTAAACAACAACAACAAACTCAATAAACAAAGCTTTGTAGTACAGAACTCATGAATAATTCTCAAGTGCTCCAATGAACAGAAAACTTGTCATTAAGATAATCATAGGAATCAGTTTCTATCTCTAAAACCAAAGACTACTTACTGTTCTAAAAACTATTAATTCTTTGGATTATTATAGGTTTTTATAAATAATTTAGTGATTTAACTCTCCTGACACTAGAGTTCTTTAAGTATATGAAGATATCAATTATAGATGTCTTATACTCTTTCAATAGACATTTCTCATTATTTTACTTTGTCTCTTATTTAAAACCTACAAACTGCTGACTTTTACCAAATATATACAGTAGATGATGGACTATTTTTATTTTAAAAATATGACTGGCTACTTCAAAAAGATTCTTGACAGGACTTTCAAACAATGTAAGCCTTCATTCCATTTCACTACAACTACTTCATTTCTTTAGTTTTTAGTATGTTTCTTTTTACAAATCAAATAACCACCATCTTAAAGTCCTTACCTGTGCTGCCCAGATATTATCAAGATCTTGTAAGGTCAGGGCTTTTTCTTTGATGACAAAACGAAGAATCTTCTCTAGCTTTTCCACATACTGTGGTTGATGAAGACTATCTCGCAAGACTATGGACAAAATATTGTTCTGCTGTATCCATTCCTAAAAAGAATTTAAAAACTTGCCTCAAAGTTTTCAAAAATATATACATAAAGTATTGCTCACACTTCTAAGCATTAGTAGGAATTTAAAAACTCACAAAATATTATGTACTAATGTAACACATTTATGTGTTTTGATACAAAATTATGAAAAATCACAATTTCATGGAACTTAATTTTGCACAAACAGAAATGCTTCCATGAATTAAAAATAGTGAAATCATTAAAAAATATTTTACTCTAGCATTTACTCAGAAAATTATTACTTAAATGTAGCAATCACCATGGTTTAACTATGGTAGGTACAGGATCCATTTTAAGATTTAGATTTTTTATACCGGTTTTTATTTGGATCAAAGTTACTTTTAAATTTTTTGCTTTTATTTATTACCCAATTACACTATTATTATTTATCCATTAGCTTGTTTAATCTTAATCCTAATGAGGGCTATACTGCCCTATTACAGAAAAGTAAACAGGCTCAGTAGTATTGGAACCAGAAACTGAATCAAGGCTGTAAGCTTCCTAAGTCTGAACACTATGCTATATTGTTTGACAGGCATTTATTTAATATTTAAGCCAATAAAAGAAAACTAACTCATGATATTACACAAAGTAATAGCCCATACTGTATGATTTCACAGTATTCAACTTATTAAAACTATATAGTCCCAAAACATGTTAGAGAAAGAAGTACACTTCTCAGCTAGTAAAGGTCCATTTTTCACTCTGATCTGTTACAGGCATATATTTTTGAAGAACACAATTAAAATGTGGCAGTATCAATTTGCTACAGAAGTTCCTAAACACTTACTGCCATTTTCTGTATTCATCTAGGCTTTGTAGCAGCTCAAGGACCAGAATGAGACCTCAGACCACACTGAGTAACTCTGTGCTAGCCCTCCCATAAGGTGAACAGACAAATAACACACCCCAAACCAGAAGGCTACCACCGGACCCCCTAACACACGGCCAAAATCAAGGCACCACCCGAATGTTCATCGCAGCACTGTTTATAATAGCCAGGACATGGAAGCAACCTAGATGCCCATCAGCAGACGAATGGATGAGGAAGCTGTGGTACATTTACACCATGGAATATTACTCAGCCATTAAAAAGAATTCATTTGAATCAGTTCTAATGAGATGGGTGAAACTGGAGCCCATTATACAGAGCGAAGTAAGCCAGAAAGATAAAGACCATTACAGTATACTAACACATATATATGGAATTTAGAAAGATGGTAACGATAACCCTATATGCAAAACAGAAAAAGAGACTCAGATGTATAGAACAGACTTGTGGACTCTGGGAGAAGGCGAGGGTGGGATGTTTCAAGAGAACAGCATCGAAACATGTATATTATCTAGGGTGAAACAGATCACCAGCCCAGGTTGGGTGCATGAGACAAGTGCTCGGGCCTGGTGCACTGGGAAGACCCAGAGGGATCGGGTGGAGAGGGAGGTGGGAGGGGGGACCGGGATGGGGAATACATGTAAATCCATGGCTAATTCATTTCAATGTATGACAAAAACCACTGCAATGATGTAAAGTAATTAGCCTCCAACTAATAAAAATAAATGAAAAAAAAAAAAAACAAAATCAAGGCACCCTCCACATACCATACCTTTTATCACATCCTAACCACTGTCTTCCCCATTAAACTGAGGCCTCCTTGAGGTCAAGGACACTTCTTTTACAGATGTCTCCTCAGTACTGTCAGACACTATGCACTGGGGTTATGCAACCAATGTTTAAGTGGCATTCTTACTCATTTCTAAACTGCAAGGATGCAATCATCTATGGTAAGTAAAATTTCCTAAACTTTCAACATCAAAATAATATAAACGCAAGTGCTTAAGTGAAGTCCTTACAATTATGATAAAACATTAACTTACGTGTTCCTTATTCCAGTAATTGTATTTCCTATTTTAAAATCTTTAAGTGGAATTCATCAAACGAATAGGTGACTTCATTCAATAGGTACCAGATACCACCCAATCACCTTTCTATACTCAACTTCAACTCCCACCCAGCTAATAATTACTTCAGAACACCTACATTCAGCAGTAAGTGTATCAAAGATGTGCTAAGCTACCCATTATCATCAAATAATTATATATCACCAAAAAAAACAAAACAAATAATAAACCATGTTAGTTACAAAAAGTTCTCAGGATTAACAGACACAAACTGATCCAACCATCTCCCAATTGCAAAATTTTCTTTAAAATGCTAATATCACTAACTTTAAGTAGAGCTACGGTTTTTGCCTTAGACAGATTCTTATTCATGAAATTAGAATCAAAGGACTTACCGCCATTCGTTCAGCTGTGAGCCATTCTTCCTCCTCAGGGTTACCGTGCCGATGGGTGTAGTATGATACACTCGATATCACCTTATTCACCTCATTAAGTGCATTCATCTTTCCATTGAAAGAAGAAATTTGCAATAATCTATAAGAGAAATTAAGTGTTAAATATGATTCTAAAATTCACATAAATTATTTCAAGAGGTAAATATCTTACCTAAGTATCATTTTTAACCTAAATATTTCTAAATTTTTTACAGTTTCTTCTTGTCCTGGAACTCTTGAAGCTAAATTTTTCAAAGATTTAATAATCATTGAAAGAGCATCATTTTTGGCTTCATTCTTTGCTTCTTTTTTCAGTTCTTCATCAGTTAAGTTTTCTAAAAACTGTGGAACCATTTCTATTACTGGAAGAAAGTACTTTTTCACCGTATGAAGAGTGAGAAACTCATAGCATTGTCCAAATGGTCTGAAACAAGAAAGACAGAAATTTCTTTCAATATACAATTTCTTACAATCAACTAAGACTGAACTCAGACTATTTTTTTTTTTAATCCAAGTTACCAGCTAAAGAAATCATATTTGAGAAAGGAAACTCAATTTTTATTAAGCAATTGAGTAGCAATTTCTAGAATGCACTGAAGATTCATTTTAAAACATAACTTACTTAATAAGGGCTGCAATTATTTGAACATTTAATGCTGATCCATTAATAAAACGATCATGCAAAATCTGGAATCCATTTAAAGTGCCGAATTTGTTGAGAAGATCCACTAGCCAACCCTGTAATACAGTTAGTAAAAAAGTTAACTTCCGACTCTGGGAGGGAAAATGCTATCTGAAGTAATTTCTTAAACACATGAGAAACAGGAAATGCAATAAAGGAAAATAATTATGTAAAACCATCTTTGAAAAAAAGACACAAAATATTGCATGTTGTTCACAGTAATCCTGTCTATAAGAGAAAAGCATAATTGGTAGTACCGATTAGATCATTAGGGCACAGCTGTTTGTTTGTATCAATATAACTGGTGAACTGGAATTAGAAGCCATGCTTCTATCTCAAATATCCCATCATGAGACTACCTTATTATCTGAGGTCTATTTTTAAAAATTTAAGAGGGTAAAAAGACTTTAAGAAAAGAAAGATTATTTGGTAACCTAAGATACTGTTTGAAATTTATTTTTTGTTGTAGCTTTGAATAACCACAAATACCCTTGAAACACAATAATCTTAAAGCTCAAGAGTGACCTACCATTAAAAATGAATTCCTGGTATCCTATTTGTTGCTCCTAATTAGAACATGCTGGTTGATGCTTTGTGCTCACTTGTGAATACCCCACAGTTCTCATGTTAGAGGTACCACAATGCAATATACTATGAATTACCTTTCAACCTCCTCCCTAAGAGACAACAAGCATAATGTAGCTGGGATAGGCAACAGTATGTGTAGTTAAAAGCATGCCTATAGGTAAAATTAAAAACAAATCAATAGCTTACATAGATAAAAGAATCAAATATATTTAAAAACTCATCTACCTAAAACAGCTTTCTATTCCTTGCCTTCTAAAAGGCTACATTTTGGAAGTCCCTAAGGGAAGAAAAACAGGGAGCTGGGGGGGGGGGGGGGTGGGGGGGGGGGAGGGGCACTTTCTATATTAGGTCTTAAGCAAAAGTCATTTCTACACTATTTAAAAACAAACAAAAAAACAATGTTCAGGACATGGGGAAAATGCCAAGTATTAGATAATGCTTTAAAGAAACACTATGGCAGTTTTGATATGATTTATATAAGTTCATTATAATATTTTCCTTTTATTTGGCCTTAAAAGGCTAAATCAAAACAATGAAAAATCTGAGCATTTAATTCACCAGGTCCCTTCTGGCATTCAGCAATTCAGAGAAAGTACATTTTTATTATGTAATATATTTTTATTTCTCCAGTAACTGCAATGGGACTATTAGGCTGATACACTCAACAGTTATTATAATATATGTGCACAAAGTAAAAATCAGTCTAAAGTTAATCTCATATGTTTTTAGTTGAAATGTACATTTAAGCAATTAGAAATACTAAAAAACTAGTAATATTCAAGAAAAGCTAGGCTTCAAAGGTATATAAAAAAATCTTCAACTCAACGCCATCCTAAATCAAGTTGTCCCCTCTGAGACTCTTGCAGATTATTGTTGACTATAGAGCAAAAAATTAATTAAAAAAAAAAAGGTACATTTTGGAGATTGTCATTATTTAAATACTGATTTACTCAAACAAAAACAAGCCTGAAGCAGCAACAACATCAATCTTAGGAAAAATCAGAAAATCTTAGCTCAATGTAATCAATATACTTTGATGACTTCCACTTTTAACAGGATAAACCAAACATTTTAAGTTCAAATTTTCCTATTTAAAAAAAAAGAATAATAAGGTCATCAAATTTAAAAATGTCTTCCTAAATTCTAAAATTTAAAAACTATATATGGTTAATTATTTAATATTTATTAGATTAAGTATAGTTAGGCATTCTTTTTTTTTTTAGGCATTCATTTTTTAATGTACATTCTATTTATGCTGGTTTAGAAAATTTACACTGGAGGACTTTTACATTTTGTATACTAAATATATTTAATTGACATTTGTCAGCTTTGCTATTTTGCTTTCATTTGTATTTTCTATTGTTTTATGACACATTAGACAGGCCTCAGTCAAAGAAATAATCTACTCCACCCTTATTGAAAAGGAAAAACATGTTCTGTTTCATACTAACTCAAATTATGACTATTTCCCAAGAGAATGGGTAAAAGACAATGGGACTAACTATACTGAGAAAGCCAAAAATATTTTTAAATTAAAAAAATAACAACAACAATGAAAAATCCCTTTAAGAGCTATATGAAATAACTCTACTCCATGCTACCAGGAGGTTAAGGTCATTTAAAGTTCTGTAGCAGAGCAGAACAACTGTTAACATTTAACTTTAAAAACAACAAATCAACACACTTTTGGTGATCGAGGGTCTGGAGAACGAGCAAAGAGTTCGTCTTCAGGCAATTGAACATTTGAGGAAACGGATTCACACGGACGTGTACCATTGTAGATATGGAATTTGCAATGAGGATTTAAGGCCATGGAGAGAAGTTCTAGAAGTGGAAACCAATCCTGGGACAACTTGGCCACACATAGCTCCACCAGGCGATGAGTATTATTGATAATACACCTCTGTTATATAAAAGGAGAGGGTAATTAATGAGATAAAGACATTCTGAACAGAAGTATCTTCCAATCTTGATTAATTATATTTTAATAATTATCCTTCAGTTGTTCGATACTGATCATTTGAGTTATGTTTAACTTTACTAATATTGGGATCAAACCGATGTATCAAAAAAGAAATTAGGGAGGTGGGAAAGAGTTTCAAGAGGGAGGGGACATATGTGTACCTATGGTAGAAACCAACACAATATTGTAAAGCAATTATCCTTCAATTAAAAATAAATTTTAAAAAAGAAATTAGCATTTACTTTATAAATCATATAGTATCTACTTTCAAAAAACATTTGCAATGGCTTACAAAATGAGGTAGGCACTGCTCTGTGTCCCCAGACAAGATGCAAAGTACCACTGCTTCCTCTCTGCAATTTTTAAACTACAGGCAACAACTCTAAAATCTAAGCAATGTACTAAATATCCAAGATGGAGTAGGTTTACTATCTAAGCCTCAATGCAAAAGTCTGATACAACTCCCAAAGCTTCCATTCCATACTCAAAAACTCACAATTTGTGACTGTATTTCCCTATAATAAACAAGGAACAGAGACTTGTAGTAATTACAGTACTTCAATCTAAAAATGCACATTTTTTTTCACTTTTTAAGATCTTTAGAATCTGATTATATCATATAATCATATAATATTATATCATATAAACCTGAGACCACTACTGAATATTGGCTTGTGGTTAAAAATTTCAAGAGATTTTCTCCCCCTCCATCAGGTGCCAAAGTTGAATGTTCAGGTTTCTTTGGTGTCTCTTTTTGTATGTAAAGTTTATTTCTCTGCATTGACCCTTTGTGTGCCAGATAACAGGTTCCCCATCTTGGGCATTTTCCTTCCTGAGTGGTACATAAAATGAGTGATTGGTGCATTTCACAACCGTGTCATATTTTCAATGAAATATGGTGGCATCTCAAAAGTCACAAGGCACTCGAGAAATAAGGAAACAGACTAAACCAATGTTTTCTAACTTGAAAACTCACACTCATTCTAAATGATTATGCTTCTTTCAACAGAAATTCTAACAAAATTTATCATTTTAAAAAATCCTTTAATTCAAGTAGTGATCAAATATGTAACCAAATATATATATATATATAAATCAGATTTTTAAAATAAAAGACTCACATGAATTTCAAACTTCCAGCCACTCACTGCCTCGTCTGTAAGGATTTTAGTGAAAGATATTGTTAGCCCATCTCGAAAAAATCGCTGACATGCTTCGCTTTTAACATCAAGGCCTAAGAAAAGGAGAGAAAAATTAATGTAAACAAATTATTTATCTGATTGTCTTACAATGTCCAATTACATGATAAAAGCAGTAACTGTAAAATATTCAGTAACAGCTAACAATTGCAGACTAGTTTTGGAAAAAAATTCATAGCATTATCTAAGAGGTCAAAAAAGTAACAGACTGAAAAATAAAAACAACCAACAGTGAATTTCAAAAATACTTAACTGTATAAAAGTACATTAAGCCAAGTAATACTAAGATGAACTGAAAATATTTCTAATTAGACAGTGGCCCAACATTAAAAACACAATGGTTATGAGAACAATGTGCTAGGAGATTTAAATACGTTATAGTTTTTTTTTTTTTGTATATTAGCTCCAACTGCCAGGCCCCATTTTAAACACTATTATTAAGCTAACCCCTCAAGCAAGAAACCAGTAAACATACCATGTAAGATTAAGATCTCTGCTGATAAAAGGCAGACTCAGAATTTGAACTCAGGATGGCTCCTGAATGCACACACTGATTCACAAAAATAGCCCTGAAATAATTTCTGTATGGTCACTACTGTATCCTCTTGTAGTCCTGTCATAGAACCTATGTTAGATCTTCACTTTTGAATCGTATTCTAGACCCTAAGGCCCCAGAGGAGAGCTCTACGTTAACTTCTTGCTTACATTATCTTTGTTCAGAAGTTAGGCACAGAATGACCATGACACCTCCATAGAACATTCCAAGAATACATTCCCTTAAACTCGATTAACAGTCAACTTATGAGACAGGGGTTTCTGATATTTTCAAGACTAAGGAAAACAGCCCTATGTTTTATGTGCCCCAGGCATGAAATAGCTCTGGCCACCAATCCAGGCATCAAGCTAGGATGAACAAAGGACTAGACATCTGCTTTGCCCCTGACTGATACAAGAGCAACACCACCAATCAGGTGCCTCTTTGCCCATTGCCAGGGAGTAAATACGTTATAGTATTTTATTGACAACAAACTTTAAAACAAACAAAAAATGATGCTTCTCAACTATTTTTAAAATCTCATTTTGGTTGTAAATTATCCACTTGACAAATACTATTATATTATTCTACAGAAGAGCTTCATCAATTAAAGATAAATTATCATCTTCATTATTAGTCTCTTTTACTGGCCTAACATCTGTTTCTTAATGTCTTTAATTCCATCTGGTTTCAGAAAGGCAATAGTGCTACATGTCCCCAAACACACACAAAAAATCTTTAACTCTTGATGACAAAATGAAAAGCCATTCAATTTGTATATAAAGTATTATCTGATTTTGGTTGTAAAAAGACATGACATTTAACCCTAGTACTGTACTTTTAAAAAATCTGAACCTTGTCTAAAATTAAAATAAACCATGGGTCCTAAAGAAATATGGGGGAGTGGGAGGGGTAGAGACTGCATGTCCCATGGATATCAATGATATTAAATGAAATAACCATTGTGTGTTTTTACCTAACATTGTATAGTCAGGACTTAAAACATGCCTAGGACAGAAGTTTTCAAAAAATTTGCTGAACTGATGAATAAATGTGTAAATGAACAAAAGAAATTTGAGCAGTAAAAAACAATGGTAATCTGAAAATGCATTTTCATAACTCATTATATTGGTTTTATAAGATTAATAAGGTATAAAGACACATTCTTTAAATGAAGGAGGGTAATTAAGACAAAGGAAATTTTACCCTTGCCATGGAATGAGACAGACTTAAGCAAGGTACCAAAGACAATTTTTACAATAATTAATTTCAACTGATAATTGGAACATATCCATTGCTACCCAATTTCAGAAGCTAAAATGCTACTGCTGTTTACTTTAATCTCCAAAGCCTTAAAAATAAGTAGATATTACAATAGTAGCCCTTTGCTAAGAGAATTCAGTCGCACCTCAAGAATCAATTATTGGAAAAAATTATTTCCAAAATTAAGCTTTTACTTTTAGATAAGAATAAAAAGTTTTTAAAAAATGGGTTAGTAAAAAACAAAAAACACAGTATCTCATCTTTCAAGTCTTTTTTTTCTTTTAGAGGAAATTCAAACCTTTCTGTGTATTAAAAAATAATCAACACATAAGCTGGAAAATTTAAACATGATTATATACAAATTTCATGTATAACTTCAGAGAGTTCACAAACATCCTTGAAGGTTGTCCAAAGCATATGAACCTGTATTCCAGGTATAAATCTTAAGCCATAGCAAGAAAACTTGCTAAATGTTCTTGTTTAGGAATATACAGAAAAAGTATTCAGGCATGAAGTGAAACTATTTTCTAGTAGGATACATTATATGGAAAGCCTCATACCATTTAAACTTACCTTTTTTACTAAGGTCAATAGCAGCTTCTAAAAGCACTTCTAATTCCCCTTTTGGCAAAACTGGAACCACCCATCGAGGCCTAAGAGTTTTAATAATATAAAAAGATGTTTATTGGTTGAACACTGAAAGAGGCACTATAAATGAGTTACTAATTACTTACCTCACCATGAAAATATTAAAATTAAAATGACACTAAAATATTAAAACCACAAAGTTGGCAAACTATCTGCTTTGTTTGACTAAGTGTCATCTGTTGTCTCTACAAACAAAAAACTTTTTAAGACACTGTCAAGAAAAAAATATAAAAAAAAATATAAAAAAAAAGAAAAAATATAGCAATGAGAGAAGAGGGAAATAAATTATTTTAATAACTTAGCTATAAAACTACTATAATAATCAAATATCACTTAAATGGATATCTATTGTTAGAATTCATACAAAAGTGCAAAAAACAATCATTTTATGTTTCTCTTCCCCAAGAGATTTGGTAACATGCAATTTTGTCCTTGAGTGAGCAACCACCAGACAAAAATTGAAAAGCAAAATATAACTTTTTGCTCTTGTATCTCTGTTATAGAGAATGGTCAGGGACATCACAACTTTATACAACTGTTTGCTTGCTTGACTAACTCATTATATACATTTAATGTGTTCTTTCAAATATACCTCTAAAAACAATGAATTAAATATATATTAATAGGAAAAATATTTAAGATAAATGAAATGAGGAAAACATTTCAGTAACATATAAGAATTCCATTATTTGTAGAGAAAGCAGTACTTATGATAATAAACACAAAGATAACCTGGAAGAACGCACACCTTATTGCTAGTGCTAACTTTTGGTTGGGAGGTGTGTACCTAAGGAGGAAATTACAGTGAACCTTATTGACATAATACATTTCTATGTTTAACAGTGCATACTTACATTATATTAGTTATGTAATCAGAATGTTTTTAAGAAGTAAACTTAGTAAAGCAAGTAAGTCCCTGTAAGTGTGTGTTTGCCTTTTCTTTTTGAGGGGATGTGTCATACCTCCCTAGGACTCACTTGTTGAGCTTACAGCCTGGTGTAAGACCACAGACCTGTGGGGGCGAGGGGGAGGGTCCCTGACACACTCTTCCCTTATCTTCTTTTTAAATATTTTCCTTCCGTATACACAAGCTTAAACTTTCAATCTCTGAGTCTTATTCAAAATAAAGCGTGGGGGTGGGTGGAGGTGAATGTTTGTATTATGAGTATGAAAAAATGTATACTCTGAACTACCTCCATGAGATAAAGATCAGGAGAAACAAATGGGTGAGATGCTTAAATGCCTCAAACTAATCAGTTGACAAGGGGCAGGCTCTGAGGAACTCAATCTCCTTATGACCTGGTTTACCTCAGGGCCATGCAAAAAGTATTCAAGTCATCCAGTAACCCATTCACCAATAAGAAAAAAGGGAAATCACACATATGGTTCTACTTCAGTAATACACCAGCTAGAGTGATCATCATTAATCTTAACACTTTATTGACACGGTTACTTCCTTTCATTTTTAAATCCATTAAGAACCACAGGTTGCAAAGTACTTGGCAATGACTAAGATGTTAAGGTTATTTAAACAGGCAACATAGTTAACCGTGATATTCCTATCCACTCTTGCTGTTTTCTTAGTACTAATGACTATGCTGAAAATCTTGCTTTTCCTGTGTATGACATACATCAAAAAACAAGACAAAATCAACTCACCTATTGATCATGTCATCCAACTTTGCTAGGTCAGTATGTGGAAATGCAGGCTCCTCATCTTCAAGCTGTGATGGGGCATCACCCTGACCTTGCTCATCTGGAGGAGTTGCCGGGGAATTTTCATTGGAAGAATCAGGCGATGAGGTCTTAAAGATTAGATATTCCAGATTTAAGTTTCTATAACAAACGTCTACATCTAATAATTCAAACACCAAAACAGATTAGGGGGACATAATTTAAATTTTTAAAGAAGATATGATCATTGTAAATTTATGATGTATCAGGCAGTCTCTGGGCTACTACACTTTAACATAATTTCATTTAATCCTCAACAGCCTAAGGAAGTATTCTTCCACTTAATAGATTAAAAAAACAAAACCTCAGACAATACATAATTAGCCCAAGGTCACAAAGCTCCAATTCTGTGGTCAGGATTTAAATCCAGGTCTAATTCTAAAGTCTGAGTTCTTATCTACAATGTGTACTGCTTCTCCACTTACATTTTCCATTATATGAGCCCTTCATGATACAAATTATTGCACACATTTTACAGATTAAAAAGTCTCTTGACTTCTAACTTTTATTTTTCATTTTGAAGAGGAACAATGACTTTTATTCCATAGTTACCCTAGTCTCAAACTACTATCGAAACAATTGTTAAAACTTTATTGTGGTTTCTAAACAAGTCACTTCATCTTCAACTAATAAGGCTAACTTTACTCTTCACTGTTAGTGCTTCTCCCCCCCACCCCCATACTTTAGTTGTAGAAATACTGTGCACAGCTAAGTGTATGAACTTTTAAAACCCTTATTAATTTTGAAAGCAGATGGTATTTTTTTCCTAATTGAAACTAATCTAAATTTTAAGCTGATTTTTGTGTGTTTGAATTTTTCTACCCACTGAAGGTTGATGGCCCTTTTAGAGAAGGCCCCATTCCTTATCATTTTATTAGCACTTACTGAACAGATGCATAAATAAATGCTTGTACTGAAGATAGGTGGGTATACTATATTCTAGTTACAAACTTTATACATGAACTCAGAGAGACAATTTGCAAGAAAACAGCAAATCTTTACTTAAGATGATGAACACTATGCAGGTGCTAAAGGGCTAGTTTCAAGACAGAAAAACTACAGAACAGAATTCAAGTTTTAGAAGCCCAACAGAAATATTTGCATTTTAAGTATGTAACTTAGGAAGTCTGCTTCATTAGTTTTTAAAAAGCCCCCCCCCCCATTTCCTCTGGTATATATGTATTATAGATATGTTCACAGAAATTGTAAAGACAAAAATAACAATTAAGATACCCATAATAATACACCAAAGATAAGCACCAGAGACATTTTCAATTATTTCCTGAAATTTTTTGTTCTGTGACCCCCACAAATCCTGTCCATATAAACGTATAAATTTTCAATAAAATTGGGATTATACTTGCTTAAGTTTGTGTCTTTTTCCATTTAAGTATTTTCCCATATCACTAACAATCTTTTTTCATTAAAAAAGATTAATGGCCATATGGCCATAGCATTCAATCAATTAAACAAAATTAAAGGACATTTAGCATTCTGCAATTTTTACTGCTAACATAAAATTATACTTTTATATATAAATCTTTTACATAAAAATTTTCAATCTTTCCTTAGGACAGGATCCTGGGAATATAATTAGTACAACAATGGTAAAAATTATTTCTTTTAGGGCTGCTGACATACATATTACCAAATTCCATTCCAGAAAGTTTGCACCCTCCCATAAACATCTCCCAAGAGTGTTCATCTCATAGGGCCTTTGCCAAGGCTGCTTCATTTATCACTGAGCTGTAGTAGAGCTTAAAATTCTCTCCTGTGGGAACACTTTTAAAAATTACTATATATTAAGTGAAAAATCTCATTGATTTTAGAAATTCCCTTTATGCCATATGAAAAAAAAATATTCAAGGTAAGCCATAAGGTGGGCAGTGATTAGTGCTATGGTTGCTTCTCCCAGGTCCATTAAGTGCCAAACCTTTTGAAATAACTAGAATCCTAACATTAAAAAGTAGAGAATAAGAAAGCGAAAAAGGGATACTACAGGCAGTTATGAATATAATTTGTGGGAATTCCCTGGCGATCCAGTGGTCAGGACTCCGTGCTCTCACTGCCAAGGGCCCAGGTTCAATCCCTGGTCAGGGAACTAAGATCCCATAAGCAGTGAGGCCAAAAAAAGGTAAGAATGCAATTTGTTTGTTCCTTTTTAAATTATCATCTCCAAAAATATAAAGAGCTATTTAAAGGAAGAGGACATAATGCAGATGCATAATATTAAGCTAAAGATCACAAACCCAAGTGCTCTTAGTATACCTTAAGAGTAAGATTAGAGATTTAATTTCTACCTAAAGCCATGCAAACCACAAACATTGGCGAATGATTTAGGAGTCTGTGCACAGTGCAGGTATGAAACAGAAAAGAGAGGGCAAAAGACACTGGAAATCGAACTACAAGCTCCTGGTTTAAAAATATAAATCTCTGGCACCCACCACAAACTGACTACGTTTAAAGAAACATGAGTACTGGCTAACAAATTTATGACATAGGAAAGACTTAACTCTGTCCAAGACCTGTGACCATATACCTAAGTATTACATGTCCTAAAAGTGGGAACTGGAGAGGAAAAGGAATAAAGTTGACATTTATTAAAACCTGACTTGCTCACTTCTCTACAATGACAGAGGGAGAGGATGAAAGTGGGGGAAGGAGGGCGGGAAAGAGGATGACGCACATGGGCGCACACACACACACGTGCAACTCTTTCCTATCATACTTGTAAATAGAGAGAATGACCTATAATAGCTATACAATAAAAACTTACCCTCAAATGACAGATGTAAGTACTCTACAATAACTTTTGCCTAAAACTTACCCATACAGAATTCTACATAAACATGCACCAACTGTAAGCAAGTTTGTGATTCACGGGCATGCCCCGCAGTGACAAATTCACCTCTAAGTGCTGTTTGAGCTGCATTACAAGTTTTAATGTTTGTCTTATTCAATTCAGTATTTCCTGGTATAAAAGTATGTACAACAGAAAGCTGAAAATTAATTCTTTAAACTCCCATTTCAAGAAATGAGAAAAAGAACAGCAATTCAAATTCAAAAGAAGTAAAAGGGAACATGAAATAAGGGTTAAAAGCATACAAGCAGGAAGGAAGAAGAGAGTTAAAGCCAAAAATTGGTTTGAGGGAAGTTTTGATGAAATTGGTAAATCCTTTAGGAAAGGGTAATCAGGAGAGAGAACACAAATTAGCAGTATCAGGGATGAAAAAGGAGATGTTACCACAGATCCTAAGACATTAAAAAGATTAAAAAAGGATATTATAAACAGTCTTGCTTCAATAAATTTGACAATCTAGATGCAGTGGACAAACTCCTTGAGAAAACACATTACCAAAAGTCACACACACACACACATCAGAAAATCCCCGTTAAAAAAAAAGCTGGATTTGCAGTTATATCCTTTCCACAAATAAAGCCCCAGGCCAGACTGTTTCAATTTTACTGGTGAAATTATTAATGCAGAAATAACTGAAATCTTACACAAATTCACCCAGAGAACAGAAAAAGAATATTACCCTCTGAGTTTTGAGGTCAGCATAAAATCTTGATACCAAAATCTATTTTAAGCTCTTAGAAAATATTATTTCATTTGATCCTCTTAATGATCCCATGAGGTAGTTACAGTATTGTTATCTTTTTACAGCAGAAAAAACTGAGGCTTAAAAGGTCATATAATTTACCCAGAGTCATAAAGCTAGCATCGCATGGTGCAAAGCTAAAATGTGAACACAGCAACATGACTTGAGTCCATACTCTCACCACAGGCACATCAAATGACTTAATGCTTTGCTCTGGAACTGACAAAGGGCTTAACTTTAATGATTACTGGTAGAATAAGACACCAGAGGGAAAAAAGGGGCTACAGACCCAAGCATCACCACCTATACAGCATTTGAGATTCTTGTTACTGTGTAGGACACATGTTTATTTTTCTTAATAACAGCTTTGTGGTTACTTCCCAAATTATTAGAACATGCTCCTAATTATTCAGAACATGGGATATTTAGTTATTTAGAACATGGGACATCTGCATCCGTTAACAGATATGCCAACGTAGCTTTAAGTAGAATCTTAGACTTCCTACCTGATTCTGCTGGAGGGCGGGCTGAGACTGTCCATCAGGAGCCTGGCCCTGGCTGTCATTCCCTCCTACTGGAGAGCCACGAGTCGTGGCTGTCATACTCGACACAGGGCAGATCTTTGCAATTTTGTCTGCTTATGTAGTTGTCTTGAAAAAAGAAATTATAGTCCACTTATAGAAGATGAAGTACCAGCATTTGTCAGTCTTAAAAAGCTCCAATTCAAGAATAAACCATCTTGCAGAGACCATTGCATAACCTACAAGAAAAAAAAAAAGCACATTTGTTTTAGACATAAAAAACATTAAGGAATTGTTCAAATTCAATGTTACCAGTGAATCTAGTCAGGAAAAGGTGGCTATATAAAAGAGAGGACAAAGTGAAAAGTTAGTTTCATTAATACTGTATTTAAATAAACTGATAATAGTGTATCAGTAGTTACATCAAGAAAACATACAAGCACAGCCTCATAATATTTCAGTTTCCTCCTGGGATTCCAAAGACCTTATCAAGATTATTTACTTAGCTGTTATTTCAATTATGGAGTGGCAAAAACTGTCTTCAACTTGCTAATGCCTTGAATATACACAATTTCACAAACCTATTTAAGACATAAACCAAGTAATAAAATCTGATTATTAAAAATATTTCAGGAAGAACTGTACAACTAACATTTATCACTGGTACATGGGTATTAAAATGGTTTCTAAACAAATGTACAAGTGGTTTTAACAGAAACTTTAAAACTTTGGGGGACTTTTTCTTTGGAGAGGGTTCAAACTGGATCCTACTCCTCCAATACAACCTGTTTTGTCAAATGACCTTGACTTTTCCCTTTTGGGAAGGTTTTGGCCACAGGCACTCCCAGAACCACGGCATGGCTCCAGACCCAAACTGTTTAACAATGGAATTCTTCTTTGCTACCTGAGCAGCAAAGGTGTATAGAGGAAGACCACCAAATCCTCAATTCTGTATTCTTGGCTGCAGAATAAAATCATCCAAGGTGCTTTTAAAAACACTGATGTCTAAACCCCTCTCCAGAATGAATAAGTTACAGTATTTGGAGTTAAGCCTAGGCATCAGTCCTTTTAAAAAAATCTCCCCCATAACTAATTCTAATATGTCACAAGAATGAGAACCTCATCTGATTTACAGGTATTTAGTTTTAAGGAAACCACATTTCCATTTACTCCATGTTTGCCTCAAACTTAAATACAATCACTTAACCCAGAGATGGGGTTCTAAGAAGATTTCCTTTCACTTACCAAACTGGAATAACAAAAAGTTTAAGACTGATAATATCAAGTACTGGTGAGGCTAAAAACGGAAAAACCTTTATTTAATACGCAAAGTGGAAAAACAAAAGGTAATATGGTTGAACACCCTCTCTCACTTTTGCTTTCCATTTTTATACAACCTACACTACAAAAAAGTTTTACGTGAAGTAGACAATTTAAAAAACCCAGAAAAACCGACCTATCACTTTCTTCAGCCATTTTGGGTTGGCTGGCAAATTGTTTAACTATTCTTTTTCTTACCACTCAAAACATCAGCTAACCGATTCAACTTCAATCTTTTCTACTTCAACCCTGCTCCAATCTCTTCCTTTTGATCCCATTACTCATGATCCCCAATGAATGATATCCCAATTGTCACCCCCCTCAATCTTTTCCTGGATGTCTCTTAGCCTATAAAAAATGTGCTTGAATCTTCATTACCAAAATGAAAATTCACCAACTTCTGCCCTTCCCTTTCCCCCCAAATCTTAAAAAGAATGCCTCTGCTTCCCCCTTCCTTTCTTCCATTCTCTCTCATCATCTAGTTGTATCTAAGCTATCAAGACTGTTTTAAGCCAGTGGGTCTTAGACCTCAGTTGAGGTCTATGGACAGGTTTGAGGATTAACTCCCCTCAAATTACATGCAAATCTTTATAAATATGTACTTTGGAGGGGGAAGAAGGTCTGGTTCACTGACCAATGCTCTACTAATTGACAGGTGATAGTCAAATGACTGTCTGTTGCTGTTCACCCTGTCTGTCCTCTTCTCAGAAATAGCAGCAACTGGCTGCCACTACTCCCATGTCTGTACCTGAACCTCTGAGGTTCCTCAGCTTTTACAATCCTGAACTTTGATTTCCTTTCCACTTCTTTTCAAAGGGGAGGGAAGAAAATAGTAAGTAGATAGTAGTCACATCAGTGACAAGTACAGTTTTTGATGCTGAACAACAGTGAAAACATCCACTAAACAGTTGACTTTAGGTCAGAAACTGAAGGAAAACTTGGGGGTGGGGGTCTTGAAGAGAACGCTATTGCTCACAAAAGAGTGGGAGATGGATTCATTAGGATCGTATGGGTTGTTGTTCAGTCGCTAAGCCATGTCCAACTCTGTGATTCCGTGAACTGAAGCGAACCAGGCTTCTCTGTCCTTCACTATCTCCCTAAGTTTGCTCAAAATCATGTCATTGAGTCGGTGACGCCATCCAACCATCTCATTATGTTGCCCCATTCTCCTCTTGCCCTCAATTTTTCCCAGCATCAGCATCTTTTCCAATGAGTTGGCTCTTTGCATCAGACAAAGCTTCAGCTTCAGCATCAGTCCTTCCAATGAATATTCAGGGTTATTTCCTTTAGGATTCACTGGTTGGATCTCCATGCAGTTCAAGGGACTCTCTAGAGTCTTCTCCAGCACCACACTTTGAAAGTGTCAATTCTCTGGCGCTCAGCCTTCTTTATGGTCCAACTCTCACATTCATATATGACTACTGGAAAAACCATAGCTTTGACTATATGGACCTTTGTCAGCAAAGTGACAATTTTAATTTTCCTTTTCTATAGTGTACTGTGCAGGGTTAGTGAATATTTGAGCTAAAAATTTGAAAATAATGTATTCAAATATAATTTGGAAAGTCTGAATGGAGGGGAAAAAAAAAGTCAAAGATAACGCTACTACTTTGTCACCCAAGAATAACACCACTATTTTTTTCCTCCTTTTTCTTTTCTTCTTTTTTTTGGGCTACACCACAGGGCTTTCAAGACTTTAGTTCCCCACAGGGATCGAACCTGGGTCACTGGCAGTGAGAGTGCGGAGTCCTAACGACTGACAGCCAGGGAATTTCCAACACTGGTAGCTTTCTTAATTTTTTTTAAGTGAAATGTTAGTCGCTCAGTCATGTCCAATTCTTTGCCACCTCATGGACTGTAGCCTGCCAGGCTCCTCTGCCATGGGATTTCCCAGGCAAGAATACTGGAGTGGGTAGCCATTCCCTTCTCCAGGGGATCTTCCCCACCCAGGGATCGAACCTGGGTCTCCTGCACTGCAGGCAGATTCTTTACCATCTGAACCATCAGGGAATCCCCTGGAACACTTGTACCTTTCTTAATAAATCCCATTCAATTCAAGCGGATGGGATTTGAATGGCCATCACACTCCTTTACTTGATTACAAGAAGTACTCTCAAGGTTCTAAAGGAGCTTATCTTCCAAGTCACAGATATTTAGGCATTTTCATTCATAGCTGAGTTAGAACAAACTTTCTACCAAGTCAAAGTAGCAGTATCCTACACAGAACTGAGCAACTCAATAATCATTCAAATCATTTAAAATCTGACACAATACCCACCACTTCCTGTAGGAACACTAAAAGTCAACAAATCACAATGTGATTACTGTACGAAGTAAAGTCTGAAACTTAAACATTTTATTTTAGAAAAACAAGAGTACTGCAAGGGTCGTTGTTCTCCCTCCCTTCCATATGAATTTTACCAGAATGCAACTTGGATTTTCTGCAATACAAAATGGCAATATTAGGTGTTTTATCTGGGGAGAGGTCTCAGACTGCGGCCTTTTCCATTTACCTTAGTGTTATTTTGTTGAAAAGGATAGTCCCTTTAGAACCTACAGTATTTTTATATTCAAACTTAGCATCTTCCAAAATGGGAACAGCATCACGTTTACCTGGATAAAGCTTGGTCACCCATTATACTAAATAACCTAGTATTCCATAAACATCAACCATTTGTATTTATTTTAAACTTTGTATGACTGAATTTCTATAGCAGCTTTCCAATGCAAGGGCCTTAATACCACAGAAACCCTCAAGACAAAGAATGGTCCTTCTCTACATTCTTCCATCTCTGCTCAAACTTTCCCTACATTCCAGAATCTCTTTTATACAGCACACTGAAAGTCTCTACAATTCCACATATATGATCCTACTATACTTAAAGAGTCCCTTCTCTTTCTAAATTTTCCTCTTTTCATCCAAAATATAAAGGACGTTAAAATAAAAACTCAAAGCTTAGTCATTTAAGAAATATATGCTGAGTATCTACAGTGGGCCACATATTGTTTTAAGCATAAAGGAATAAATACATGGCATTACACAGCTGGCAAATCTCTCTGCTCTTGTGGAACTAACATTACACATTGTGTTGAGAGATAAACGAGCAACAATGCCAAGTCCAACAGTTCAACAAATTATTTACTGATCACCAAAATGAGTTCATTAGAAACTAATCTGATAGATCATCCTTATATACATCCGTGAAATTATCTTGAAAACCTAACCTATTCTGGTTTTATGTATGAAAACCAAAGGGGAAAATTATTCAGTATCTTTCTCCATCTAGTGACTTTCTATGTTTAATTGGCATCTATTACCCTTGTTTTCCTCTTAAAATACTTGACTCAAGAGGTGAGAGACGTAACTGTGAAACACACACAACCTGTACATACCTAGCACTAGACCTTACTACTCTGACCAATCACTATAAAATGAAAACCTTAATTACAACTAATTAGACAAACTATTATTTTGGAATTAATACTCTAGCACATAACAGAAAGAACTTACATGTTGGTTTAAAATTTTACTGCAAAATGTGTAAGTCGTCTCATCTTTATTACAAGTCAATATGAAACATCTTTTAAGTACTAAGCTTTATTTCAAAATAACCACTATTTTAGTGTATTGGCTTATTTTAAGCCCAGAGTACTTAGATCTTCTTGAATCTTAAATTGGAATTTCTATTGCTATGATAGATTCAACATGTTTAAAAGCAAACTTTTTATGCATTGTAGTCTGGAAGAAAAAATATCCTTCC